GGGGCATCTTGGGTACCAGCTCTAAAACAGCAGCAGCGCCCGAGGAGAGCCAGGGGTCTCGCCGCCCTGGCACCCCCGCCGCGAGGCGCAGGGGCAGATGGACGCGGTCTGGGCGTCTGGCTGACACAAGCGTGCCCGAGACCGCCTGCGGGACAAAGCGGGCGAGACAAAGGCGCGGCCAGCACCTGTCGCTCTTGGCCCAGCCGCCGCTTTTCTCCGCCCGAAGTGGCTGCAGCTGCCAACTGTCACGGGCATCAAGTTACTGGGCCAGACGGCCGCCCTGCCCGGCCCAGCCCGTGCAAGGGAGGGGGAGGAGCCGAGGGGGAAGGAGGGGACGCTGCGGGGGAGGAGGCGGGAGTGGGGGTCCGGGATGGGGAGCCAAGGACCCTGCGGGCCAGGGACGGCTCAGGAGGGTAACAGGATGACCACGGAAGAACAGGCACGGGGAGGGGGTGCAATTAGAGAAAGACAGGATAGTGGATGGTGGGTGATAGGAAAGGGGAGCGCCGGCTTTCCTGCTAGAGGAGGGTTCGGGGTGTGTACAAGAAGCGCAGGGGCCGGCGGCCATCCCCACTTCCCCCCAGCTTTGTACCTCGTCCCCTGGGACCCTAGCCCTTCCAGGTCCCAAAACCATGGACTTGCCTTTGGCACACCCCACCCACTGGAGCTGGTTCTGGAGATCCCAGATGATGGAGGGCTCTTCTAGGGAGCTACCTTTGGTGAACCAAGGGGAGAGTGCGGGCAGGTTTGCAGGGATGCATGGGTGGTTGGAGGAAGGGAAGGATGGATGGATGCAGGGAGGGACAGATGGATGGATGGATGGATGGATGGTGGAAGGGATGGATGGACGAATGGAGGGAGGGAAGGATGGGTGGACGCAGTAAGGGATGGACAGTTGGATGGATGAATGGATGGACGGATAGATGGATGGTGGAAGGGATGGATGGAGGGAAGGAGGGATGGATGGATGGATGAATGGATGAAAGAAGGGAAGGATGGACGGATGGGTGGACGGAGGAAGGGATGGTCGGATGGACAGATGGAGGAAACGACGGATGGGCGCATGGAAGGAGGAAAGGATGGATGCGTGGGTGAGGAACGGATAGCTGAGTCCCTGCTCACACAAACGGCAGAACCGGGGGTCCTAATTCAGCTGTGGGAGAGCCCAGCGCACAAGCTGAAGCCAGGGCCGGGTTGGGGGGTGGGGGAGATTCGCTTGCACCGAGCCCCGCCCCCGCGGGAGTGGCTGGAGGCCGCTGTAGGTCCAGCCCTGCCAGCTGCCAGCTGGCGGCGGCCGCCCGGCCTTACAAAGCGCGCTACTCCCATTGGCTGCCGCTCGCCTCGCGGCTGCCGGGCACAGCCAATCGGCGCATTGTCATGCAAATAAGCCCTTATAAGAGGGGCGGGGCCCGCGGGCCGGAAGACTCCAGGAGGCTGGTGGGGAGGCAGGGTGACTACGGTCCACGCAGGGGTGTTTCGCTCTCCGCGCCCGCAGGGCTCCGGGCGCTGTGGGCCATGGCTCCACCCCGGGCGCCCAGCCGGGACTGTGCGGGCCGCGAGGACGAGGACGGCTGGGAGGCGCGAGGGGACCGCAAGGTGCGGGCCGGGGCCGCAGGCGGAGGGGCGGGCGGGAGGCTGCGCGGGCCCGGGGCTCAGTGGCCCGCTTCCCGCAGGCCCGGAAGCCTCTGGTGGAGAAGAAGCGGCGCGCGCGCATCAACGAGAGCCTGCAGGAGCTGCGGCTGTTGCTGGCGGGCGCCGAGGTGCGACGGGCGTGCGGCGAGCAGGGTGGGGGCTGCAGGGAGCGTCCCCCGAGCGCCCGGCCCGGCTCACCGCCCTTCCCTGCCGCGCAGGTGCAGGCCCGGCTGGAGAACGCCGAGGTGCTGGAGCTGACCGTGAGGCGCGTGCAGGGCGCACTGCGGGGCCGGGCGCGCGGTGAGTGGCGGCGGGGCTGGAGGGCGGGGGCGCTGGCCCGGGATGCTTGCCACCTCGGGGCGGCCGCTGCACCAGCCCCTGTCCTATCCACGGCGAGAGCTCCCCTCGGAGCAGGGCACCCTCGAGTGCCTCGTGGGTGAGCCCTGACCCCGCAGAGGGGACGGCCAGGCCGTGGCAGTCCGCGCTCAGGGTGCAGGACGCTGCTCTCTCCTTCTCACCCTCCGGCGCAGAGCGGGAGCAGCTGCAGGCCGAAGCAAGCGAGCGCTTCGCTGCTGGCTACATCCAGTGCATGCATGAGGTGCACACGTTCGTGTCCACGTGCCAGGCCATCGATGCCACGGTCTCAGCTGAACTCCTAAACCACCTGCTGGAGTCCATGCCGCTGCGCGAGGGTAGCAGCTTCCGGGATCTGCTGGGGGACTCCCTAGCCGGGCTGCCTGGAGCCCCGGGGCAGAGTGGCTGGCCTGTGGGAGGGGCTCCCGGGTCCCCACTACCCAGCCCCCCGGGTCCTGGGGACGATCTATGCTCTGATCTGGAGGAGGCCCCTGAAGCTGAACTAAATCGGGTGCCTGCTGAGGCGCCTGATTTGGTACCCACAGCCTTGGGTAGCCTGACTGCAGCTCGACTGGCCCAGAGTGTCTGGAGGCCTTGGTGACCAACACTAACCAGGGACCTGCCGGCATGGGCTGGGCCATCCCTAGCTCTACTTCCTCCCTGGATATCAGATGAGGTGGAGAGGGCCCAGTATGCCCCCAAGTGTGCCCTTCCCTCTCCTCCATGGATGGCTTGCAGGGCAACTCTTGGTGGCCAGTCCCCAGACCCTTAGCACTGTTTCTTGAGAGTCACTTTGATGGACCCTTCAGATCTGGATGGGGGGAGGGAGGGAGCTATGGAAAGGAAGAAGGCCCTGTAGGGGTACCAGGGCTCCCACATGCACTTGTCCCTGTCCTTCTGGTTCCCTGCTGGACCTAGGGCACGGGGCAGGGCTGGTGCTACCATCCCTGGAGGCTGAGCACACGTCCTGAGCAGTGCTGACCTGAACAGCTCAAATTTGCCACTTCAGTCAGGAGACCAGGGGAGGAGGTGTACTGTGCAGCCACACGGCGGGCTGTGTCCTGTATCCTTTGTAGCACATTCGAGTTTGTGAATTTGGTTGTCATCAAATGTTCCCGTTGAATTAAATAAAGAACTTTGGAGTTAGTTACCCCGGTGTGCGGTCATTGATTTGTCAGAGGTGTGATTGCTGAACTAAGCATATTTTTCCTGCATCCCACACTAGTGTCTTTAAGATCCTTTGACCTTTGTCAGCAAAGTGAGTTAGCGTGGTGCTGGTGGAGATGCCCCAGTTGCTGGGCAGGTCCTCTAGCCTGGCCTGCTCTCCCTGGGAGTTGTGTGTCCTAGAGGATGCCTCTGGCATGGGGCTTGTCTCCAGGGTAACTAAGCCTTAAGGATATGACCTGTCCCTGTATCATTCTCTCTCCCATGAGCTTTGAGGAAACACTAGTGACTAGCTGCCAGTCCTTCGCCCTGGAAGACTTTCAAAGATCAGTTTGGGATCCATGAGCATGAGGTCAGTGTCACTCTCCTGTGTTAGGGCATCAATTTCATTTTGTTTGCTATTATTATTATTGAGAGAGAGAGACTGAGATTATAGGCATGTGTGTAGAAGTCAGAGAGCAACTTTTGGGAGTCAGCTTTCTCCTTCCACCATGGTTTTCAGGGATCAAACTCATCAGGCTTATCCAACAAGTCTATCTACTGAGCCATGTCTTTAGCTCAAGTTACCATTTTTCTTGACAGTAGGAGCTTCCCATGGTACCACTGACTTCAAAGACAAGGAAAGCCACCCAAGTGTTGGCTTGAAGAGAAAGTGCCAAAGGCCCAAGCAGCTGGGGCCCTGAGGTTGGAACCCTCAGGCAGGAGGAAGTGCAGGAGGAGGTTGATGGGATGGGCAGCTACCATGCCTGCAGATATACATAGTCAATTGGCAGCAATCACTGCCACAGGTAGCCCCCTCCTCTCCAAGACTCCAAAGCAGATTGTCCTCACAGGGTTGTGAGTGCTCAGGCAGGCTGAGATGTGGAGATTCAGGATTGGTATCTAGGGTCTTGGGTCATGTGTCTTTCAGAGTATGGTTCTCAGGACTGGAGAGAAGGCTCAGCGGTTAAGAGCATTGTCTGCTCTCTCAGAGGACCCAGGTTTAGTTCCCAGCACCCACATGGCAGCTAACAACTGTCCATAACTCCAGTTCTAGGAGATCTGACACCCTCTTCTGACCTCCACAGGCATTGCACACATCAGTCCACTTGCATACATGCAGGCAAAACACTCATACATAGAATATAAAAATAAATAAAATTTAAGATTATCTTTCTCAAAAGCACAATAGCAGCTTCTGGTCCCCAGAGCATTTGAGGTTCATCCCTGTGCCAGACTAGAATCAAGGCAATCAGGGGCTGAGCTGTGGGGGACAGATCCACAAGAGAGGGCTGGAGGAATGGAAATGTTATTCCTGGGGTTATTTTCATCACCTCAAATTAGTGCAAAGTTCCATAGGGGCAGGATAATGAGTCCTCCTGGGAGTCCTGTGTGGCTCCTTTCATCAACCACAGTCCAAAGCAATGAGTTCTGAGCCTATCTGGGGAGCAATAGCCAGGGACTGCTTGAAGGAACAGCTCTGCTCTGACATCAACTCTTGCATCTTTCCTGAGGCCCCTGGTCAAGGGGGAGCCTTACTCCCTTTGCAAGGTGCAGGAGGCTGACCTGGAGTAAATGTGCCACTGGAACCAGGACCTGCTCAAGGTCGGAAGCCACTGACTCCAAGCTCTAGCCCTGTGCCCTTCCATCCAGGGCCAGGCTCTGTAATCCACAAGCACAGTCTCTTTCTCAGGAATGGATGTGGTGTCCAGAGCAGCCACCACTGTTGGCCTCAGGTGAGAGCTGCTCTTATGGAAGGCACAGTCTGGGACCGCAGTTTCCCTTTCAGCCATTTCACCCTGCCTTCTCTCTCTGCAGCCCCAGACTTCCGCACAGGCCTCCTGCCAAGATCTGTGATGGTTTCTTCCTTCTCTGTGGAACACAGGATTCACTCGGCTCAAATCAAGGTTTCAATAGGCAGGGCTCTGCTCCTCTCTGGAAGCTTGAGGGTACTCTGATTCTTTGTTGTGTTTTTGTCCATTGAGAAACCACCCGCAATCCTGGGCTCATGGCCCCTTTACCTTCAGAGCCAGTAACATGCTGCACCTATCAGACCTTTCACCATCAAAACTTCTGAGTTCCCTACCCCCTTCTGCTTTGAAGGACCCTTGTAATTGCACTGGGACAGTCTGGGTAATCTCCCTAATATCCAAATCATAACGTTATCCATAATCACCTTCTTTCCTCTTCCTCTCCCTCTTCCTTTGTTCAGTGAAGGGGATGTAACCCGGGGCCTTGGACACGCTACATGAGTGCTCTGCCTCAGAGCTACAGCCCTAGCCCTTGCACAGTCTCTTTTTCCATGAAAAGTAACACATTCCTAAGTTCTAGGGATGAGGAGGGGCATGACTTGGCTACCTCATCACTGCACCTTGGCGCTGGGCTCTTCCTTCCACCCCGAGGCGCACCATGATCCCAGCTTCTCACAGGAACACTGGTCTCACCCCCCTCTTACATATACTCTCTGCACTGCAACATTTCTCCTTTCTGGATCATTCTTGTCAACCTCCATAAAGTTCTAATACTGCCTTCTGGAAGAAGGGAAGGTAAAAATTGCTAGACTTGAACCCCGTAGGCCTCAGCTCACAAGCAAGCTTCCCTGAAAGTATTTCTCCACTTCTGCCCCCATCAGTCTTCATGTCTCAGTACTGCCCCACCCCTTCACTGACAGCACCCAGCACACCCTCCGCCCACAGTAGCCCTATCACCACTTGCAACTTAACTCTCCTGGTTATCTTTCCCTCAACCAGAATCTCCTTCAACCTCCAGATCCACCATGCTCGTGTCACCTACTACCCCCTAGGACCCCCATCTGACAATCTGGTCCATCCTCTCTCTAACCTGCAGGCTCTCCCCATCTTATCCACCCACTACTATATCAAAAGGGCATCACCACAAGCTTACTACTGCCAACACCACTGACTGTTGCCCCAAATGCACGGTCACTTCCCCAGCACCCCATTGATTCCTTGAAAAAACCCTGGGACTGGTAAGCTGGCTCCATGGTAAAGGTGCTTGCCGCCTCAAGCCTACGGATATGAGTTCGATCCCCAGGACCTATGTGCAGGTGGAGGGCAGATCCAATTCTGCAGTCTCTTCTGACCCCCACAAGTGCACCGTAGCACACGCACCCCCCCAATGATGACTGCCCTAGTTTATTCTTCATTGCTGTGACAAAACACTTTGACCACTATCAACTTGGGGAGGAAAGGGTTTATCTTACATCTCCCTGGTCACTGTTCATCAGGGAGCCCAAGGTAGGAACTCAGGGCAGGAACCTGGAACAAGGGCCATGGAGGAACGCTGCTCAGCCTGCTTTCTTATGCAACACAGACCCACCTGCCCAGGGGTGGCACCACCCACAGTGGGCTGGGCCCTCCCACATCACTCATCAAGAAGATGCCCCTCAGACATGGCCACAGGCCAGTCTGATGGAGGCAATTCCCCAATGGAGGCTCCCTCGACCCAGGTGTGTCAAGTTGACACTAAAGCTATCCAGCACAATGATAATGATGATAAAATTAAACAAAACAAAAAAAAAACTTGAAGCTTCCTCTATTTCTTTTCCTGTCATCCCGCGCTGACACCAAGCACCCTGGCTCTAACATGGAAGCCCCCGCCGGCCTCTGGCCCTCCCTGCAGTGCACTCCGGGCTGCAGGCCGGCGTGAAGCCGCTGGAAGCCGAGGGTAGCCCGCCTCGGTAGCCCCGCATCAGCCTTCGGGTCCTTCCCGATGGCTGGACCGGCCTTGGGAGAGCCAGAGCCTGGCGGGGAGGGGGAGAGCGGAAAGCCGGTGGAGCCGGGGGCTGGGACTCAACTCGGAGAGACTCGGAAGCCCTCCGGAGACTCTCTGAGGAATTCGCTCCCGGACGCCCAGGCCTTGGCCCCGCCCTCCTGAGGGGAGCCGCGGGGCCTCCTGGGAGATGTAGTTCTGGTCACTCCCAGAAGCCTGTGCGCGGGCGTGCGCCTACGGTGCCAACGGCGCCAACGGTGCTAACGACACCGACAGCTCTCGGGTCTCCGCCTGTGAACACATCCGCGGGCGGCTGGAGCCGGCCGGGTCATCGCTGGCGTCGGAGCCGCGGGGATCCGGGTCCACCCGGGATAAGCAACAGAGTCAGGGGCCAGGTAGGTCGCCGGAGATGCAGGACGCAGCCTAGTCCAGAGGACTTGGTCTCCAAGCCTGGACCCCAGAGGAGGAAGCACTCATCTTTCATACTTTAGGGAGTGACTTATGGTGCGACCCAAAAGGAGGCAAATGATTATAAGTTGAGAAAGAAAACAAATGTTAAAAAAAAAAAAAAGTCTGAAAATCATTGTAGAAATCTGGGTCTGAGACAATTCAAGTTTTATCAGGACACAAGGCCAGTGGGTCTAGCTAGCTGTGTTAGCGTTTTGACCACAGACTTGTCAGCTGAAATTTGCAGGCAGAGACAGAGGGAGAAAAGAATTAAGTCCGTATGTTAAACATTCCTTTTAGCCACATCAGCAAGATTTGGGGTTGAAGGTGGCACAGGAGGAGGGATTGGGGTTAGCCGGTGTCCTGAGTGCCTTTTGGCTCTTGGAAGCTGCCAAGGGGTTTGCATCCTCCTGGAAAAGCATCGGAGTTCCCTTGCTGTGCTACTCTGGCTGTTGCTCTGCCAGCCATTTGCCCGCTGGTGGTGAGCCTCTCCTGTCTAGGTCCTGCCCACCTTAACACCTGAAAATCTCAACTCTGCCCTTAGCTAGCCACACCATGAGCCTTCACTGAAAGTGGAGGCCTGAAGCCAAGTTTACTTCCTGTCCACCTTATCTGGGAAGCTTGGTTTCTGGCCCTACTGCTTCTACCTTTCCCTGACTCTGTCCTCAAGCCATCTAGCCTCCCAGGAGAGCAAGCCAGCTCCCTGACAGTGGAGACAGAAGCAGCAGTGTTAGTGGTCTTAGGGCAGGTGACTTCCCTTGTTCCTTCTGCTGCAGGATCAGAGCTCTCCCTGGACAGAACCTTAGTTAGCAACGGTATTCACCATGCTGAGGGGATCTGTGGACACCTGCCCAGAGAAGCAGGATGCCTACAAAAGTACGTCCACCTCAATAAGGTGAGTGATGGGTTGAGGGTGAGGTGGTATAGAACCAGGCTGGAGAACTTGGGAATTGGGAGGCTTGGTGCCCCTCCTTCCTTTTTTCCCTCCAGTGCTCCTAGACAGCTTCTGCTGGTCTTGGACTCTGGTAGTTGAAAAGGGGCCCACCCAGTCCACATAGCTGCAAGCCAGGGCTGGGCAGGGCTCTTTAATGTTACATGAGACTTTTTTTTTAAGACTTGTTATGTGTGTATTTACATGTATGTATGTGCATGTGCTTGTGAGGAGGCCAGAGGAAGGCTTCAGATCTCCTGGAGCTGAACTTTCAGGTGATTGTAAGCCACCTGATGAGGGTGCTGGAGACCAAACTCCAGTCCCCTGAAGGAACAGCAAGTGTTCTTACCTACTGAGCCATCTCTTCAGCCCCTGGGAGTTGAGACTTTTTGAAAAATATACTTTTTGCTGGGCGTGGTGGCGCACACTTTTAGTTCCAGCACTTGGGAGGCAGAGGCAGGTGGATCTCTGTGAGTTCAAGGCCAGCCTGGACAGCTGGAGCTACAGGGAGACCCTGTCTCAAAAAGACAAAAATAAAAAAAAAAATTAAAAAAAAATATATATATATATACTTTTTAATTTTTCCTTTGACAGTTTCACATGTATAATATAATGTGTGTTGATCAGAATCGTCACCATGTCCCTCTCTTATCCCATTCCTACTGAAGAATCCTTTCTTTTTTAATAGAAGGAAGCATTTTGGTTCTTTTTTTAAATTTTATTTTATGTGTATATGTGTATTGCCTCCATGTAGGTAAGTGTGCCCATGCCCTGCAGTGCTCTCGGAAGACCGAAGAGGCTGTCGGGTCCCTTGGAACTGGAGTTACGGACAGTTGTTAGCTGTCATGTGGGTACTGGGATTCGAACCCAGGTCTTCTACAAGAAGAACCAGTGTTCTTAACCGCTGAGCCATCTCTCCAGCCCGCATTTTAGTTCTTTTTATTTTATGTATGTGGATACTGGGAATCAAACCCAGGTCCTCTGCAAGAGCAGCCAGTGCTCCTAACAGTGCTGAGCTGTTTCTCCAGCCCCATCCCTATGATTTTTTTTCCCACATGATACACACTCTATAAAAGGCTCTTGCATACTTCTGTCCCATCTTGCACAATGTTCTCTGAGCCTTATGGGAGACAGTGATAGAGATGTCGCATTTAGGGCTGAGTTACTCAGTACTTTGGCCAGTTCTAAGTCTCTGCATTAACTGATGCCCACTGCAAAAAGAAGCCTCTCTGACCAAGGTTTGGAGCACCACTGATTTGTGTGTATAGACATAAAGGGACATGGGAAAGCTAGAAGGGAGAGACACTAGGGAGAAAGGTACCATTGCTGTAAGGACTGGCTCATGGGATGCAGTGTAAGAGCTTCAGGGCTGGCCTTGAGCCCAAACTCCTGTTTGTTTTCTAGTTAATGAAGTGGTGAACTCCAAACCCAGAGACTGAGAGAGCATCCTGGCTGCCAGCTGGCACCTCACCCAGAAACGCAACAGGTCCTGCCATCACCATACTTGGTTTTTTCCTGTAGCTATGCCTTGGCTCAAGACCCATCTGCACCTATACTTTGGGCCCCAGGCTGAATGCCTGGCTGTCCCTGTGCTCTGCAAGAGCAGACAAGATGCGGGCGTTGCGGGGTCCCAAACAGGCCCTAGGCCTCAGAATGAAGAAGGCGCTTAGAGGCTGCACCCACAACTTAGGGACACTGCAAACAAATCACTGGAGGCAGCTTGTGTCCCTTATGACTGGAGGAGTTTCAGCAGGAAATTTAGCCTAGTCCTAGGGGACAGGGCCTCTGCCTTAAGGACAATATGTAGTTTCAGAGGGCATTGCTTCCCAGTCATGAGAACAAGTGGCCAGGACACAAGGCCAGGACAGAGGTGTGAGCCCAGTGAGACTGTTGAGGAAAAGCTGAGATGACTTCTGATCGGCAGACTCTAAAGAAGGCTGCCTGGAGGAGGTGGTCATGAGCCCTGCATGATGTGGATGCTGGAAGATAGAGGAGAGAACTTGCTTTTCAGACCCCAGGGATCTCTCTGATCGCCACAGTAATTTCCTATGGGATTTGATCCCTGAGATAAAGCTCCTGTCCACCAAACACAGAAGGGAAAGGGAGAGATGGGAGGAGGCATAACGAAACATAAAGCTTCTCCTGGGAGAGGGGGTTGGACTGTCGATGCTCAGCCTTGCCTGATGCCGATGCCCAGCCCGTGCTCACCTTCTGTGGCTGCACTTGCTCCCTTCTTCCTCTCCTGCTGTATGCAGAGCCTCTGAGATCCGGATCTCTCAACCGTCTGGCTTCCTGGTGGCTGTTTCCTGTGTTTAGAACTGGAAGGCTGAGCAGACTCCAGCCCATCCAGCCAGCCACACTCCCTCCTGTCCTTGGGTGGAGCAGGGGACAGCAGCAGAGGGAAGGGGAGAGGGATCACCTAACCCTGTGGAAGAAAATGAGGAATGAGAGAGGCATCTCTTGCTGTGTAACAAACTACCCCACAATTTAGCAGCTTAAAACAGTCCACAGGTTCTGTGACTTAGGAATTCAAGTAGTTAGTGGGGTCTCTTCCTGGAGGCTTCTTACAGGCTACAGTCTGTGTTTGGAGGCTGTGGTCTCATGAAGGGTTGGGTGAGAGGAGGTACCTCACACTCACACAGAGCGAATGCTGTAGTTTGCAGGATCCAGTTCCTCACCAGCAGATCAATAAAGGGCTCGTGCTGCTTACTTCTGGCTGGAGGCCTTCCTCCCTTCCCTGCATGGGCCTGTTCATGTACGTGCACACTGCTCCCACCTAATTGGGCAAGCAAGAGAGGGCAAATGAGGAGGGAGTGTCTTTCACAATCCGACTTCACAAGGGACATCCTGGGATTTTCCCTATTTTTGTGGGTTTTAGCTCTTATCGAAGGGGATGCACTGGAATGTGCTACCAGGAAGGGACATTGAGGGCCACCGTATGGGTTGTCTTGCTGCAGCTTGCTAGGTCTCCACCTATGACTGCTCTTCTTGTGTCCTTGGGGCTCCAGGGGTGCGTCTCACCAGGGCCCAATATTCAGTAGCTTGTTGCCCCTTGTGTTTTGATTTAAAAAAAAATTGAAGCCCTAATTGGTACATTCTGAGGTAGATGTATCCAAGGGAGTCATAGAGTATGTCCTTGTTGAGAAAACTGTCAGGGCCCTGTGGACCTCTTTCTAAGGCAGCTGATGCTCTTGAATTCTCCAGCATGACCAATAGAGCATCTTAAGCTTCTGAGTTCGCAGTCTGTCCCTCAGAGCAAGTTCGTGCCCTCAGCTGTCACTTTAGAGGCTCCTGACAGTCTAGTGCTGGTGGGTGTAGAACTCAGAAAATAATGGGTGAGCATGGGAGAGAGCAGCTCCCCGGTCCCCTTGCTTGTATCCGCATGGGCCACACAGATGCTTGAAGCACAGCAGAGTCCATATCTTGGTAGAACACCTCTCAGAACCTCCTAGACAAGGCCAGGTCTGTTTACATCCTCAAGAACCCTCAAGGTTTCCCAAGGCTCTGCTGAGGTCCACCTTTCCTCTTACCTGCTCTAGAGCCATTAGCTCTATAACTAGGTGTTCTACCATCTTATGGCCGTCTCTGGTCGCTTTAGTGTGTCTCTGCTCAAGGAAGTAATCAATTGAATCTATGAAGGACTTAGGGTTTTTTTTTGTTGTTGTTGTTTTGTTTTTTAAAACTGAAAATAAAACCCAGGTCATTGCACATGAGAAACACTGTCTCTAAGTTACACCCCTGCCCTGGGTCCATTTTTACTGGTGAATCTCATCTCTGGAAGGAAAAAAGGGAGAGCCTAGAGGAATGACAAAGGGCCCAGGTCCTCCTGGGCTTTAGAGCATACCCCAAAGAGGAAAGGAAATACGCCCATGCATTTAATGTTGCTTTTTGTGTGTCTGCAATCTGTGGCTGATCTTGTATTTTCTTTACTATGCTTTAGGAGAACTAGAAGTTACTCTGATCTCTGTAATGCCTTCCTATTAAACACTTAACTCTATGGATATAGAAAACACAAAGGGACCAGAAGAAAATCCCAGTTTGGTGAAATGTCTGTTAACCGTTGTATTGGTGTAAACAGCAAATTCTACAATTAAGGATGTCTTAACCCTTGCCTGCAATATCTGTTTCTGTAAGCAAGCTGTTTAAGGAATTTCCTGTAATGGCTTACATACACATAGACATTTGTAGTTGAAAATCATGTAGGTTACAGTCCAAAGGCCTATGGATTTTTGTGATCAAGGCCCAAAACCTCAGAGTGTTAGCTTGTCTGGGTCCACTAGCACAATAAAAGAGTGAGTTCTCTGACTTTCTGGGTGAGTGCTTGATTTCTTGGCTGCCTGATTTTCTATAACACCTCCATACTTCCCCTTGCCCAATGCAAAATTCTTTTCTGCCTTTCTGTCCTCCAATGTTTGCTCCTTAGGATATTTGAACCATTTAGACTCTGACCATCTCAAATAAACTCAGTGAGTTGGAGGGGACACATCATGGACCTGGCCAGCTCACAGATGGACCAGGATTTGAATCCAGTCCTGGAGCCAATGTCTCTGTAAGCATGTAGCAAAGTTGGACTCATAACTATATACACCTTTTGAATGTACCATTCCACACTTATGAGACAGTCACTTCATCATCTGGTACTAAGGATAGAACCCAGGACCTTGTGCATGCTAGGCAAGCCTTCTACCAACTGAACTGCATCTCCAGTCCCAAATCTATTTTAGATGTACTATAAATGAAAGACTTACTTATGCTTTCCCTTAAAGACAGTGTCATGCACATCAACTAGAATTTGCTGTTTGAAGTTTTTAATTTTTTGATATGAAGTTTATAGTGAAATGCCTACTTGTTTGCTGAGTTTCACAAGAGTTTCTTTGTGACTCAAATGACTTCAAGATCCACAGCTTTTCTAGCAATACAGGAGGTTCCATTAGGCTCCTTCGGATCAAGCTTCCTGGGCTGAGCGACTTCCTGCTGAGCGATGGAGCCTAAAGTAAAGGGAAGTTTTTTGTTTTTTTCAGATGGTTTCATACTATAGCCCAGGCTAGCCTGGAACTCACTATGTAGTCCAGGCTGGACTTCAACTTGTGAAAAGTCTCAAACACTAAGATTACAAACATGAGTCACCATGCCTGGTGAAATATATTTTTAATACTTTTTTTTCTCCTTGAAGTAGTTAAAAACCATTAGGAAAATTGGAAGTAAATGTATTAAAACTCAAAATAGGGGCTGGGGCGATGGCTAGGTGGGCAAAAGTGGCAGCTAACACAGAACCGACCTGAGTTCCATCCCTGGAACCCATGTACAAGCTGCATGTAGGTGCATGGCATGTATCTGCAGGCCCAGCAACTGTTCACATGCAGTAGTTACTTTTCAGTTGCTGTGATAAAAAACCATGACCAAGGCAACTTATAGAAGGAAGAGTTTACTTGGTTATGGTTCCAGAGGGAGAGGAGTTCATCCTGGTGGGGGAGGCATGGTGGGAGGCAGCCAGAGCAGATAGCTGAATGTTCCCATTTTCAAGTACACACAGGAAGCAGAAAAGAGACAAACTGGAAATGGGGCAAGGCTAGGAACTTTTTTTTTTTCTGTCTTTTCGAGAGGGTCTCTGTAGCCCCAGCTGCCCCAGACCTCGCTATGTAGACCAGGCTGGCCTCGAACTCACAGAGATCCACCTGCCTCTGCTTCGCAAGTGCTGGCCTGGCAGGCTATGAACTCAAAGCCCACCCCCAGTGATGTGCTTCCTCCAGCTTGGCCTCGCCTCCTAAAGATTCTATGACCCTCCCAAAACAGTGCCACCAACTGACCAAGCGTTCAGATATCTGGAGCCTGTGGGAGACATTCTCCTTCAAACCACTGCACGGGTAGATAGGGAGAGAAGAGAGTCATCGGAAGCTTGTGGGCCAGCTAGCCTGGAGCATGCAGTGCAGCAGAAACAAGATCCTGCCCTCAGCAATGGGAAAGCCAGGAACAGACTCCTAAAAGCTGCCCTCTGACCTCCGCATGTGCTCTGTGGTGTACATGCACCCTCCTGCACATACACACTGTCTTAAAAAAAATCAAAATTGTTGGCTGGAGAGATGGCTCAGTGGTTAAGAGCACTGACTGCTCTTGCAGAGGACCTGGGTTGGATTCACAGCACCCACATGGTGGTTACGAACCATCCTTAACTCCAGTTCCAGGGAAATCCGAAGCCCTCTTCTGACCTCTGAGGGCATTGCACAACACAGGTGCACTTAGATGCATGCAGGCAATACACTCATACACATAAAATTAAAATATACATTAAAATATATATTTAATGATACAAAATAGAACATTGATTTGCATTAGTATGAATTATAATCTTTTTTAAAAATTGTTTTGCAAAAAAAAAAGTACCCTTCCTACACCAGCAGAAAGATATTTTACCAGAGATTGGGGAGTCGAAATTAGGAGAAATGTGCACAAACTTTGTTAAACTAATCCTTTTCTCCCTTATCACTTCTGCACCTTCCTAGCCCCACACCCTGTCTTGCCATGTTTCCACAATTTACTCTTCTTATCCAATCCAGTAATAGTGGGCTCTAACTGCTTCTGTGGGTGTTCACTTCTCTCTGGAGTCCCATGTACATGTAAAAATTACTGAATAAAATCTAAGTGCTCTCCTTCAAAAAACTTTGCTTTATTTTATATGTGTATGTGTGTATGTGCACGTATGCACATACACCTATGTCATGCAATGCTCTCAGCAGACAGAAGAGGGTGTTGGATCCCCTGGAACTGGAGTTATAGATGGTTGTTAGCTACCATGTGGAGGCTGGGATTCTAATCCAGATCTTCTACAAGAACAGCAAGTTCTCTTTAACTGCTAAGCCATCTCTCTGGCCCCATGAATTATAATCTTTAGTGAGAAGGTATAAGATTTTACATCAAAAACATAGGAATTGGCTAGCAATGTAGCCCAGTGGTTGAGAAGGTTCACAACATTTGAGAGGCTTTAAGGTTCAATTCCCAGTATTGAAAAAATATGGTAATCACTTGTTGCAGGAAATGTAGGATCCAGGCGTGGTGGCGCACACCTTTAATCCCAGCATTCCGGAGGCAGAGGCAGGTGGATCTCTGTGAGTTCAAGGCCAGCCTGGTCTACATAGAGAGTTCCCGGCCCGCTGGAGCTAAAGGGAGTCCCTGTTTCAAAAAAAAAAAAAAAAAAGAAAGATAGTCACTGTGGAAATGTGGAAAGAAATTCAGTGATTTCTTAAATTCTACACATAGAATTATCATGTGACCCAGCAACGCCAGTCCTAGGTATCTATGAAAGCAGTGACTCGGATCCTGCAATGCCCATGTTCATAGCAGGAGTGCCCACAATACCCAAAGGATGGAGACAGCTGGTTCATGAACAAGTGAACATTCAAACAGATGATCTGTCCATATAATGGGATATTAGTCAGCCATGGAGGGAGCAAAGTTCAGATATGCTACACGTGAATGAATCTTGAAAACACTAGGTGAAATTAATGTAGCACAAAAGAACAAATAGTGCAAGATTCCACTTATATAAAGTACCACCAAATAGACAAATTCATGGAGAAAAGATAGAATAGAGTTCCAGGGGATCTGACGCCCTCTTCTGGCCTTTGCAGGCACTGCATGACATGGGTACACTTACATACATGCAGACAAAACACTCATATGCATAAAATAAATGCTTTTTAAAAAGAAAAAAGGAGGCAGGTCCAGGAGAAGTTAGAGTAGAACGCATGACCAAAGTATACTGTATGCATGTATGAAATTCTCAATTCATTAAATATATATGGGGTCTTTTTGGTCTTTTTGAGAAAAGGTCTTCCTGTAGCTCCAACTGGCCTTGAACTCACAGAGATCCACCTGCCTCTGCCTCCCGAGTGCTGGGATTAAAGGCATGTGCCACCATGCCCAGCTAGAATTCATATAAATATTTTTTATTTTTTTATGTGTATGAATGTATTGCCTGCATGTATGTGAGTGCACCTGTGTCCTGCATTGCCACAGAGGTCAGAGGAGGGCTTCAGATTCCCCTGGAACTTGAGTTAAAAGAGGGTTTGTAGCCACCATGTGAGTGCTGGGACTCAAACCCGGGACCTTTGCAAGAGCAGTCAGTGCTCTTAGCCACTGAGGCATCTCTCCAGCCCCCATAAAAATATTTTTTAAAAATGAAAAAGTTCTGTAAATGGTGATGGTTATGCAACATTACAAATGTACTTAATACCATTGAATCACATGAACATGTCTGAACTTGTAAATTTTCTATTATGCACAATTGGCCACACAGAAAAGAATTGAGATGGTAGCATATCTCATCCTAGTGCTCAGAAGGCTGAGGCAGGAGGATTGCTGCCAGTTTGAGGCCAGCTTTGTCTTCATGATGAATTTAGGTAAATAATGGCTATACAGCAAGACTCTGTTTCAACAAAAGTCAACTAAGGAGAGTGTTGACTTAAGCTGAACATGGTCATAGATACCTTTTCACCAGTGATCCCATTCCAGGATAGAACCCAACAGAAATGAGTATCTGTGTTCACCAGAGGACATGGGTAGGAAGGTTCATAGCAGCACTGTGGGTAGTAGACCCAGACTGGCCATAGCTTACGTGTTGACTGTGGATAAGTAGTATGTCTAAATAAATGAGGGGGAATGGTCTGTAGCTCTTAATGTGGATGGACTTCACCAAGATATTATTGAAGGAAGAAGTAAGTTGAAAGGACATGCTGTATGTTCTCCATATGATTCCACTCATATGAGTGGTCAGGCAGGTTCTGTGGCGGAGTGCTAACTGTGATCTCTTCAGGAGGTCATGACTGAAGTGACTTCTGGGGTACACACGGTGTCCTGATATCTTTCCTGGATCCTTGTTATGCATGTTTGCCTTGTGAAAGTTACTCGGTGTTATGTTTGTGATTCATGCATGTTTCTGTAATTAGAACTTGGTTTCAAAGTCTGCTAACATACCTGTTAGAATGGCCAAAATTCAGAAGACTGAGGATGCTAAATGGGCAGATATGGAGAGCAGGAGCCCTCGTTCACTGCTGGTGGCAGTGCAGAATGGCAGCCACACTGGAATGCACGTTTGGTAATTCTTTCAAACCCAAATATACTTTCACTGTACAACACAACAGATGTGCTCCTTGCACAAAACTTTCATCCACATAAATGCCCACACATGGACATTGTGATGGTTGGTCTTGACTCTCAGCCTGACTGGATTGGGAAATAGCTGGGAATTAGGAAAACACATTTTGGGGTGTGTCTGTGAGAGTGTTTTCAGAGACAAATCATGAGGCTCTGATCAAAGGAATGGTTTAACCCACTTGGCAGATTTAAAATTTGATTATTGGGATGTGGTAGAAAGTAGAAACCAGTTGGAGGAAGTAGGTCACTAGGGGCTTGTCTTTGGGATTATTATTGTTATGATGATGATTATTATTATTGGTTTTGTTGAGACAGGGTCTCCCTGTAGTCCCAGCTGGCCTGGAACTCACCACATAGACCAGGCTGGCTTGCTCTCACAAAGATCCACCTGCCTCTGCCTCCCAAGTGCTGGGATGAGAGGCATGCACCACCACACCTGGCTTGCCTTTGGGATTAGATCTGGCTTCTGGTTGTGGTTTCACTCTGCTTCCTGTTCACTGTGAAGTGAAGAAACTCTCCTACCACACACTCCCACTGCCACGATTTTCTGCTTAAGCACAGTGGGCCAAGCAGCCACATACTGGACCTTCCCAAAGCATAAGCCAAAATAAAGTCTGTCTCTTTCAAGCTATTCCGTCAGGTATTTTGGTCACAGCTACACAAAAGGATCCAAGAATACAGATGTATAGGTGCCTTGACTTGTGACTGCTCAAACTTGTAATCTATATGTCATTTAGTACATGAATGGATGGAAAGGTGTGGTGCATCCAGGTAACACTGTATTTAGTGCTAAAAAGAAATGAAGCCTGGTGGGCATGGTGGCACATGCCTTTCATTCCAGCACTCAGGAGGCAGAGGCAGGTGGATCTCTGTGAGAATGAGGCCAGCCTGGTCTATGTAGTGAGTTACAGGTCATCTGGGGCTACAGGGAGACCCAGTGTATGCTAGGTATGGTGGGGCACACCTTTAATCCTAGCACTAGGGAGGCAGAAGCAGCGGATCTCTGTGAGATTGAGGCCATCCTGGTCTACATGGCAAGTTGTAGGCCAGTAAGGGCTACATACTGAGACCTTGTCTCAAAACAAACAAACAAACAACCCGTAAAACCAAAACTAAAAAAAAAAAAAAACAACCCAAAAAAACCCCTACTTCAGGGCATAAACTCATGGTGAAATGTACATGGTGGAGCAAAGCTGCTGGTATCATGGCATCCAGGAAGCAGAACTAGAGCAAGGGAAGGGCCAGCAGCAAGATTCATTCCCCAGTGACACACTCTGACAGACCCAATTCCTTAAACCAAGTACCACCTCCCAAGTTACCATCACCTCCCAGGAGCCAATTATGGACCCATCAATGGATTAAGCTATTAATGAAGTCTGAGCCCTCGTGATCCACTCACTTCCTCTGCCCCATCTCTGAACAGGGCTGCAATGGTGGCAAGCCTTCAACATAGGAGCCTCTGGGAGATATTTCAAACACAGCCATGGCAGTGAGGGAGGAGCCTGAAAGGAGGGTGCAACTTGGTGACAGAGTTGGAAGGGATAGGCTTAGAGGGGATCAGTTCAGAAGACAGGAAGGGATAAAACATATGGAATTTGGTGATGGTGTGTTCACTGTCCATTGCTACATAAAGCAGTACAGAAACAGTGCCTTAACCACATTCATTTGTTATCTCCCCATTTCCACACATCAGGATGGCAGACATAACAGAGGCCTCTGGGGGCTGGAGAGATGACTCAGTGGTTGAGAGCACTGACTGCTCTTGCAGAGGACCCAGGTTTGAATCCCAGCATCCACATGGTGGCTAACAACCGTCCGTTACTGCAGTTCCAGATGATCAGACACTGTCTTTTGACCTCCGAGGGTATTGCACAATATGGGAGCACTTACACACAAGCAGGCAATACATACTAATACACATAAAATAAAAATAGTATTTTTTTTTTAAAGAGTTGCCTCTGCCAGGCTGCAATAAGGTATCAGGTGAGGGAGCCTCATCTGAGGTTCATATGGAAGGACCCATTTCCAATTTCACGTACATGCTAGCAAAATCCTGCCCCTTCTAGCTTAGATTGAATGCCTCAGTCACTGAAAGCCTCCTCCCCCCACCTAGTTCTTGAGATTGAACCTAGGGTCCTGCCCAAGCTAGGTAAGCAGTCTTATCACTGAGCTACATCCCTAGCCTGGCCTTAGTTTCTTGCTGGGTGGGAGTCATGGGGTGTCTTTATACTGCATCCTGTAACATGGGAACTTGTTTCTTCATTGCCAATTAGGGGAAGAGTCTTCATGGGTGCCATCACAGCCCTGTGTAAAAGAAATAGATGCACCCCCGCATAGACATCCCATCAGTTTTGTTGGATTCTATGTGCCAGAGCAAGTCACAAGTCTGCCTACATTCAAATGGAGCAGTGAGAGACCTAAGTGACTCCATCTTGGATAAAACCTCCATAGGACTGACCCAGCCCTGGGCCATGTTCCAAGAAAAACCACAATACTTGGAATGGATAGAGAGCAACTCTTCCGCCAATGGTCAATTAACCAGGAACAGGAAAGTACTAAAAGTCCAAATGTCTTTTCAGAGTTCCTGAAGCCAGCAGTTTATGGCTTGGCACTGGGCTGCAACCAATCAGATGCTTGCCAGGCTGGAGACCCCCTACCCCCCTACTTGCTGAACTTGCTGAAATAAACCTATAAAAAACTCTGTCTCCCAAAGCAAGGGGTCTGTCTCACTTCTGAGATCCTCTAGGTCGGTGACAGAGTGGGCCCAAGCTTAAGCTTGTAACAATAAAAGAACCCTTGTGTATTTGCATTGTTCGGCTCCCTGGTGGTCTTTGGGGTCTCGCAAACTGGGCACAACATCTTGGGGGCTCGTCTGGGATCCCCAAGACCCGCCCCCCCAAACCAGAGGGTTCCTGATCGGCCGGTAAGTGTCTGTTTGCTCCTAGTCGTGCCTGTCTGTGTCTGTCCTAGCTTTTGTTCTGAGCCTTGAGGCAAATTTGTGAACAGTGTGGTCAGGAGCAGTTGGAGGGGACACGCTGGATGACCATGACCCCAAAGGTCTGGAAGACATTCCAGACCTTGGCAGAGGGGACGGAGGGCCCCAGACTCTGTTGATTCCTGTGAAAGGACAAGGCGGGTCGCTCCTGTGGCAGTTTGCCACCGTCCTACTTACAGTTTTTCTTCTGTACAAGTGAGGGAATTTGTTACTTGGCCTTCTGCGTGCCTTTCTGGCTCTCTGTTTTGTCTTTGGTTGTCTGTTTTTCTCTGACTGAGATGGACGCAATGGGACAGACTCCCTCTACACACCTGGACCTGGTTCTTGCACATTTTGGAGAGGTTAAGACTCAAGCCCATAACCTCTCTGTTGTTGTCAGGAAGGATAAACTAACCACTTTTTGCAAGTCTGAATGACCCACTTTCAACGTGGGATGGCCCTCAGAGGGGACCTTTGATCCCACTGTCATTAACGCAGTTGAGAAAATTATTCTTCAACCATGTGTGGGACACTTGGATCAAATATCATACATAGTGGTCTGGGGAGATTTAGTTAATAACCCCCCTCCTTGGGTCAAGTCTTTTCTTCCTTTACAGAAAACTGAGGTGCTGACAGCTGCAGAACAACCCAGAAAGCACCTAAGCCTGAAACCAAACCATCAGTACCATCACTGTATCCTCTCTTACAGGGCAGCACAGAAGATCTAATTTTTCCTCCCCCTCCTTACCCACCTCCTCCACAGGAGGTACCTGCTCCGGAACTGGCACCCCTGGTACCAGGTTCTTCACAGGCACGGGGGGCCCGGCTCAGGGGACTAGGAGTAGAAGGGCAGCATCACCGGAGGGTCCAGACTCTACTGTTTTACCCCTCAGAGTCGCCAGCCCCACGGATGAGGCCAGCAACCAGCCCCATCACTATTGGTCATTCGCCACTAGTGACCTTTACAACTGGAGAACCCAGAATGCTCCCTTTTCTGAAAATCCTAAGGAGCTTATTAATTTATTAGAAACTGCCTTATTCACACACCAACCCACTTGGGATGATTGTCATCAATTATTACAGGTCCTGTTTACCACAGAGGAAAGGGAATGTATCCAAACAGAAGCCAGGAAGTTAATTCCTGGCAATACTGGTGTCCCTACTACTGACCCGACACTGATTGATGCTGCCTATCCACTGACCCAGCCTGATTGGGGTTATAATACTGCAGAAGGTAAGGGGAGGCTTCTGGTTTTCTGCCAGGCTCTGTTGGCAGGTCTCAAAGCAGCTGCTCATAGGCCAACTAATTTGGCAAAGGTATACGATATTAGGAACTAAATGAAAGCCCAGCTGCATTCTTAGAGTGAATAATGGATGCCTTCTGCAGGTACATTCCATTAGTCCCAGAGGCCAAAGATAATTTAGCGGCAGTGGCCATGGCTTTTGTTAACCAGTCGACTTCAGATATAAAGATAAAGCTTCAAAGAGTAGAGAGACTGGGTAAAAAGAGCTTAAGGGATTTAATAACTGTGGCCAAGAAAGTGTACAACAATAGGGACAGTACAGAGGAAAAAACAGATAAAGGCAGAAAGGAGGCAGAACAAGGACCTGGCAAGGATCCTGCTGGCTGCCACTGCCGATCCAGAGGACCGGCGGAGACATCTGAGACAGATAGTGTCAGGGAAAGGAGTCTCCTGCAGTATGTGGATGACCTACTTGTGGCGGCAGATAGCCAAGAGGCTTGCATGGACGGCACAGAATGCCTGTTGCAGACGTTGGGAAGCCTGGGCTATTGGGCCTCTGCTAAAAAGGCCCAACTATGCAAATAGGTCCAATACTTGGGATATATACTCAAAGAAGCACTCCTGGTAAAAGATGCTGACAAACTGACTTTGGGCCAGAACTTGACCGTACATGTAATTGAAGGAGTTTTAAAGCAGCCCCTGGATGGATGGCTAAGTAACGCCTGTATAACTCATTATCAGGCATTACTTCTTAATCCTGTTAGAATCACCTTCCAGGTACCAGTTGCCCTGAATCCAGCCACACTCTTGCCGGACCCAGACTTGGATGCCCCCCTGCACAAATGTGCCAGAATCCTGGCCCATGTCCACAGTACCCGATCAGACTTGAGAGATACCCCGTTACTTGATGCTGAAGTAACCTGGTTCACTGATGGGAGCAGCTTTGTCCAGGACTGGCAAGAGGTATGCAGGGGCGGTTGTAGTATCATTAACCGGCATCATTTGGGCAGAACCTCTGCCCACTGGCACTTCGGACCAAAAGGCTGAACTTATTGCCCTAACTAAGGCGCTGGTATTGGGAAAGGACAAAAAGCTTAATGTGTATACGGACAACCGATATGCCTTTGCCACCGTGCCCGTTCATGGGGCAATATATCAGGAACGGGGCTTATTAATGGCAGAGGGAAAGACTGTCAAAAATAAGAAATCCTAACATTGCTGAGGGCTCTCTGGCTGCCAAAGAAATTGGCAATTATCCACTGCCCAGGTCATCAAAAAGGGGACGATCCGATTTCCCAAGGAAACAATCAAGCGGATCAGGCGGCTAAATAGGCTACCCTCCAAATTGACTCAATCTTGGTCACCACAGTAATTGACCCAGGTGACCCAAACCTCCCTGAAAAGCCCAAATTCACCAGGGAGGACCTGAAATGGATAAAGGGACTGCCGAGGACCCAATGCCTGGAAGAATGGTGGAGGCCAGCAGAAGGGAAGCTGATCCAGAAAAATTAGGAAACAAATGTTGGCAAAAATACACCATTCTTCCCACATGGGCATCAAGAGGATGCAGGACTTAATTCGACATGCCGAAGTAAAAATCAAGGGTGCTAATTTAAATATTAAAGATATTGTCAATGGCTGTAAAGCTTGCCAATTCACTAATGCGGTGTCAAATATTAGAAACCCAGAAATCAGATTTCAAGGGAGAAAACCTGGAGCCTATTGGGAAACAGATTTCACTGAGGTAAAACCTGGCAGGTACGGATATCGTTATTTGCTAGTCTTTGTAGATACTTTTTCAGGATGGACTGGAGCCTTCCCTATTAAACATAAAACGGCTCAAAGAAGCTAATGGAAGAGATCCTACCCAGGTATGGTTTCCCAACTACAATCGGGTCAGATAATGGGCCAGCCCTTGTCTCTCAGGTAAGTCAGGGAATAGCCACTGCACTGGGGGCCATTTGAAAACTACATTGTGCTTATAGACCCCAGAGTTCAGGACAGGTAGAGAGGATGAATAGACCTTAACTAAATTGACCTTACAGACTGGTGCTGACTGGGTGACGCTCCTTCTGTTCATACTCTATTGAGTGCGTAACTCCCCTTACCAGATGGGATTAACCCCCTTTGTGATCATGTTTGGAGTGACCCCTCCCATTATCCCTAACCTCCTTGGCAGAAATGGTTCTGCAGAAAAGGAGAGGCCTAGACCTGTTGTTCTTGCAGCAGGGAGGCCTCTGTGATGCCCACAAAGAGTGTTGTTTTTATGTAGATCACTCTGGGGTCAAAGAATCCCTGGCCAAGGTTAGAGAAAGTCTGGCTCGAAGAGAGAACGAATATAGGGCTAAACAAGGATAAAGAAGCATGACTCAACATCCCAACAGCTAATGCTTAGATATTTTACATTCAGACAGAGAAGCTGTGGTCCAGTGAGGGTGTTTTTGCTTGTATTATGGAATGAAAGGAAAGGAATATTCCCTGAATGCCTACTCTGCTAACATCAGATGACATTATCTTAGGTTTGAATCCTGGTTCAATAGCTCCCCTTGGTTGACCACTTTGATTTCAACCTTACTCGGACCCCTCCTTATTCTGATTATGCTCTTGACTTTGGGACTTTGCATTTTAAATAAATTGATAGCTTTTATAAAAGAGCGGCTGGGAGCTATACAGCTACCCACTATCAGTCCCTCCAGAGTGTGGGTGATAAAAAACATGAGATGAGGGAGCGCCCACGATTGGGCCCCCGAGGTACTAGTCAGAGGGAGGACAGAGAGACCCGAGTGACTCTGTCTTGGATAAAACCTCCATAGGACTGACCCAGCCCTGGGCCCTGTTCCAAGAAAAACCACAGTACTTGGAACGGATAGAGAACAACTCCCCCGCCAATGGTCAATTAACCAGGGACAGGAAAGTACTAAAAGCCCAAATGTCTTTTCAGAGTTCCTGAAGCCAGCAACCAATCAGAAGCTTGCCAGGTTGGAGACTCCCTACCCTCCCTACTTGCTGAACTTGCTGAAATAAATCTATAAAAACCTCTGTCTCCCAAAGCAAGGGGTCTGTCTCACTTCTGAGATCCACTAGGCCAGTGACAGAGTGGGCCCAAGCTTAAGCTTGTAACAATAAAAGAACCCTTGTGTATTTGCATCGGTCGGTTCCTTGGTGATCTTTGGGGTCTCACAACTGGGCACAACAGCAGCACAAGACTCAACTACTAGCTGAAGTCTGAAGTCTTCCATGGAGTGTCTGAAGTTGGGACATAGATGTCATCCCTAGAAGTGGAACAGACTGAAGGGAAGAGCAGGTAATAGAGAATGGGATCTGTCAAAAACTTGAGGGTCTGTCCTTGACATGTTGAGGGTCTGTGATCACCAACTAGCTACCCAAGGGACTTAACTGGAACCTCTAGGTCCACGATGGTAGGAAAAATCACTTAATAAGTCACATCCAAATGGGCAGCAATTCAAGTTAGATGTTGATGAGATTACCAAGGGAGAGTTCGGGTGGGGTGGTGGCTGAAATGTCTGTCTGCAGGAATGGGACGTCCCCAGGGACTAAGCTGCATTGGGGACAAGATGGGATGATGGTAAATTGGGTTGGGCCGAGGAGCAGGTGAGAGGTAAGGACACCAGACGGTGCTGTTATTTCAGAATCCTACAGCTGTAAGAGAGGAGGCAGGTCAGGCTAGGAGCAGCTGAGACTTCAAACAGTGGCCTATAGGCCTGCTGGGCAGAGTCCAGCTACTGCCACCACTGAACCGGAGGACCGCATCTGCAGTTACGCAATGTAGCCTGGCACCGCTGCACCCAGGATGGCCACACAGTACTGGAAACTCCCGTTAAGGTCTTGCTTGTGTACCACATTTGTGGGTTGTAATGGCAGGAAGAGGAGGCAAGTCCTGGGCTGATGTTTGAGACCAGGGAGTAACTGGTAAAACAAGAGTCGTCTTGCTGAGATGAGGGCTTTTGTGGCTTGGCCAGTGATGGTGTTTTCTGTAATCTATGGGTCTGACAGCGCCGGACCTCGCCGGGTGCTGTGGCCGTCAGAGGGCTGGGTGCTCTCCACCAGCTGCTCTCCCTCCTCGCCGCCCGGGAACACTCAATGGAAGCAGACAAGTGCCGGCAGGTGCAGAGCCTCCGCCCTCGCCGACGTCTTCCGGAGTTTGGGTCCTGACGTCCGGAGCCACCAGGGTGTGAGGACTAGGGGCCACGCGGACGTCAGGGTTAGGGCCCAACCCCAGGGCGGCCCACTGCACTCCACAGTCCCTACAAACCCGGAAGGACTCGGACTCCGGCCCCGGGACACTGCGACGTCAGTGCGCCTGCGCAGTCCCGTCCCGACCCGGCGCGCAGAACTCTGGGGCAGCGGCTGCGCGGCGCGCGATTGGCCACGTCCCGCGCGGGTGACTGACGGCGCTGCCGCCTCCCGGGGTAGCGCGGAGCTGCGGCTGGGCTGCGCGTCCGCCGCCGGTCTCCGCCATGGACCTGTTCGGGGACCTGCCTGAGCCCGAGCGCGGGCCATGCCCGCCTGCGGGTAAGCGGCGCGGGGAGGAGGGCGGCCGGCCGGGCGGCGCTTCGGTGCGCGGCCTCCGCCATGTTCGCCGCGTCAGCCGGGCGGAGGCCCTACGCTTGGGCCTCCGCGCCCGGCCGCCCCCTGCGGAGGGCCTGGGGAAGGCGGGGAGCTGCCGGGCCTGTGCGCCCCGCCTGACCGCACGCCCGAAGGCCCGGGCCCACGCGGGACGCCCAGCGGGGTGCTGCAGCCCCGGGCCGAGCCTAGTTGCGTGCTGGGGAGCCCGAGAGTTTGCAGCCCTGGTGCACGGGCCATGCGTGCCATCGGCCCACGGTGGCAAAGCCGCAGCCTCTGCTTTCGGAGCGCTCGGTTCTGATGGCAAGTGCTTATTAGAGTTAACCGAGGCAGAGTTGAGCATCGTGGGGAACCCCCGACCTCCCAGAGACATTCAGGGCGAGGAGGCGACGTGCGCTGCGGGCTTCTCCAGCTGGAGAGCCCGACGGTTTGCAGAGGTTCGAGGCAAGGATACAGTGCTCGGAAGTGGAAGGCTCAGGTCTCCCGCGTGCCGGAGCGGGACCTGCCAGTTCGGAGGCGTGCTGGGGCTCGGGGCCCTGAGAAGCCCTTGTTCGCTCCTCTCCAGCACCTGCATTTAGGCTTTCACCGCACACCGCCAGCTTACCATGGTGCTTTGAAGTGTCTTTTTTTAAATTTTATTTTATTTTTTTGCCTTTGCTCCTGGTAATGGCACCTTTACTCACTTCCACCAGCCACCTCTATAAAACCGTCAGTCTGTTTTGACGCAGCCATCCTTTTTGAAGATAACCACTGTTAGTTTTGGCTAAAGGCTGGGCAGTCTTTTATCTGTCATTGGAGTCTAAGTTGTATCCTAAGTGCTTGGGACAGAGCTTGAATTCCCAGATGTGCCTGGAAGTCTATTATTTTCGTCCTTTTTACCTGAAATTAATTCGGGCCGTCTCTGAGGGCAAGGCTCACTTGACAATAAAATCGGGCAACTCAGTATTAAAAGTTGGTGCTTAGCAGATATGGAGGGAGGGCCCTTTGTGTCCCTGTCTCCCCACTTCAAGCCTCAACTTATAGCCCAGGCTGGCCTGGTAGAGGGCCTGCATAGTGTTTAAGCTTCTCTGCCCCTAAGAATGCCTTGGTGAACTGCTCTTTGCTTGCCAGGAGGATGCTGACACTGTTACAGTGCATTAAAGAAGACCTGCTTTCAGAAGTTGTAGAGGACAGGAGGCTGAGAGGGTTAAATACCAAACTGACTGGCAGAATTGGGATCCAGAGTTATTGTAGCAGGCAGTTAAAGCCCACCAGGTGAGCCTAGCCCAGTGTTACCTGTAATCCCAACACTCCTGAGTCCAAGTTTCAGGCTGGTCTGGACCATATAGACTGTCTCAAAAAACAGCAATAGTACCAAACAAAATAGCAACAACAACAACAAAAAACCCCCGACAAGACAATGTTTTTTTTTTTTTATGAAAAAAATAGTTTGAAAGAGAACAGAATCAAATTTCACATTCCTGTCAAAATACTATGATTTAGAAAGTCAATTTTCAGCTGGTCATAGTGGCACACACCTTTAATTCCAGTACTTGGGAGGCAGAGAAGACGGATCTCTGAGATGGAGGCCATTCTGATCTACCTAGCGAGTTCCAGGTCACCTAGGTCTACAGAGACACCTGTCTTTAAAAAAGAAAAAAAAAAAAAAAACCCTAAAAAATTCATTTTAATGCCATACTTTGCTTTAGGAAATCATATTGATTGCTAAAGCAGATGGAGGGTGAGGTTAGATTACATCTGTCCTCACACATGGTGGACTGGTGGGACAAATTTCTTAATACTGGGAAGAATAAAAGATCTAGTCATAGAACTGGAGAGATGGCTTGTGGTTAAGAACACTGGCTGCTCTTGCAGAGGACCTGGGTTCAGCACCCACATGATGGCTAATGACCATAACTCCAGTTTCAGGGGATCCGACACCCCCTTCTAGTCTCTGCAAGCTTTGCACAGCATGGGTGTACTTGCAGGCAGGCAGGCAGGCAAAGCACTCGTACACATAAAATTTTTTTAAATCTAGCCATTTTCACATTTCTCAAAAAGAGTTCTGTACAAGACATAGAGGCTGCTTGGTTTCAGGTCTGGCTTCTCTGTTCCTAGCCCTTCAGGGGCTGTTGCCACATGTGTACAACGAGCTGTGCCTCCTTGCCCATACTGTGTAGGTTAGAGTACCTACACACCAGTAGAGCACATGGTGCTTTGTAGAGGTTAGCTGTTAATATCTGTGTACTAACAGTTGTTTAAAAGGGCAAACAATGGATTTTGTAAAAGTACTAAATGTACAGAAGTACATTGAGCATATTCTGTTTAGTGCTTTTGATTTTGTTTTTTACTATCACATCTAATGCTCATACCAGAAGACTTAAATTTTTATGAACTGGAAAAGGAATGTGGAAAGGATGTGTGAAGTGCTTTCAGGTACTGTACCAAATTAGTAGGCTTCATCCCAGGACTTAAGAGATTTAAAAATTATTTTAAAATTATTTCTATTTTATGTGTATGAATGTTTTGCCAGCATGTAAGTGTTTCTGTGTGTGCAGTGCCTATGGAGGCCAGAGAGTGTGAAAGATTCCCCTGGAACTGGAGTTACACAGCCCTGTAGGTGCTGGGAACTGAACCCTGGGTCCTCTGTGAGAACAGCCAGTGTTCTTAACTGATGAGCCATCGCTCCAGTCCTAACCTAAAATATTTTGAGTTCTGAGTAATCAATTTCTTTAAAAAGATCAATCTTTTGTGTAAATGTATTATGTTTATGTCAGTAGTGGAACTTTTCTGTTATACCCATAAAAATGCTGACTTGGGCTGCTTTGTAAGTGTCTTGGTTTTGGATATGTAGGTGGTTCACTTGTGCAGGTGCTATACCAGTACGTTTAAAGCTGATGGTCAGGCTGGAGCTAGAGCTCACTGGTGAGCACTTGCCTAGTGTGCATGAAGCCCTGCCTGGGTAGAGTCCCAGGATTAAAACACCTGATGGTCAGCCAGGGGCATTGTTCCGTGGATAGAACACACATTTAACATGAGAAGTCTTGGGTTTAATCCACAACACTTCAAATCAAATTGATGTTTGATTGTCAAGGAATATTTGCTTGACAGACTGACTTAAAAAGACTTTATTTTAAAGCTGGGCATGGTGGCACAGGCCTTTAATCCCAGCACTGGGAGGCAGAGGCAGGCAGATCTCTGTGAATTCAAGGCCAGCCTGGTCTACATAATGAGTTCCAGGACAGCTGGGGCTACAGGGAGACCCTGTCTCAAAAAGACAAAAAAAAAAAAGACTTTATTTTAGGGGCTGGTGTGAAGATGCAAGCCTGTGACCCCAGCACTGAGGAAGCAGAGACAGGCAGATCCCTGGGGCTCATTGCCATCCTAGCCAAATACGTGAGCTCCAGGTTCAGTGAGAACTCGTGAAAAACAAGATAGAAAGGCTGGACAGATGGCTCAGGGGTTAAGAGCACTTGCTGCTTTTGCAAAGGAACTGAATTCAGTTCCCAGCACCCACATTTAGGTAGCCAACAACCACCTGTAACTCCAGGTCCAGGGGATCCAGATGCCCTCTTCTGGCCTTTGTGGGCCCCGCACATACATACACATATAATAAAAATAAGTCTTAAAAAAATAAGATAGAAATCAAGGAAGACCCATCATTGACTTTTGGCATCTACACACACCCATACAAACATATATACTGAGCCCCTCCCTCCAGTATTTGTCTTAAAAATATTGAAGATCGGGGCTGGAGAGATAGCTCAGTGGTTAAGAGCACTGACTGTTCTTACAGAAGACCTGGGTTTGATTCCCAGCACCCATGTGGTAGCTAACAACCATCTGTAACTCCAGTTCTAGGGGAATTTGATGTCCTTTTCAGATCTCAGGCATTTCATGACACAGGTGCATTTACACACATGCAGGTAATACACTCATATACATAAGATAATTTTTAAAATACTGATGATAAAAACATAATAAAGGTTGAAATAAAAAACATACTACTAAAACTTGGGGCGTAAGCAAGCGAAAATGCAAGTCACAACATAGAAAGTTAAACTTTGCACAAAGGCAAAAGAAAATGAGAAGATAATTACAGTGTATGTGATGATTAATTATGATTAAATATTAATACCTAAAACAGAGAGTCACACAATAAACAGCCATTAGAAAACTGGTCAAAAGGATGTATTCTAAACCAGGTATGGTGGTGCACACCTGTAATTCCAGCACTGGGGAGGTAAAGATAGGATCAAGAGTTCAAGGTCATCCTGCACTAAAAGCCAGCCTGGGCTACTCAGCAGCCTGTCTTTTATAAGAAACGTCTTGACTGTTTACGAAGGAGTGGAGTTTCCTAGGCCTTGGGGAAAAGGAGTGTTGTGTCACTGGCACACTTGATTTTTCTAGCTGTAGAGCAGGAAGAATTGGTAACCTCGGTAAAAAGAGGCTTTCCCATGAAGAATGTGGAGGTTGAGCTTTTAGGGAAACTGCTTTTCAGGTTCTGCCAGCTATAAACACACCCTATCCCCAGTGGTCGAGCGAATTAAATAAGAACGTACACGTATATGACTTTACTGTGGAGGTACTTGTCTGGACAGCTGGAAGCAGCCTGAAAGTGAATTGGATGTCGGTGCCTGAAGCACACATGATGGAAAGGAGTGCTGTATGGGGCAGGACGTGTAGACTCACACATGATGGGAAGGAGTGCTGTATGGGGCAGGACGTGTAGACTCACACATGATGGGAAGGAGTGCTGTATGGGGCAGGACGTGTAGACTCACACATGATGGAAAGGAGTGCTGTATGGGGCAGGACGTGTAGACTCACACATGATGGAAAGGAGTGCTGTATGGGGCAGGACGTGTAGACTCACACATGATGGGAAGGAGTGCTGTATGGGGCAGGATGTGTAGACTGGACAGCTCACCTAGCTTGGGGCCACAGGCTGTCTCCAGCACTGCAAAAAGAAACAGAGTACACGTGTACATAAACATACAGTGGAACACAGGATATACTGTGATTAGGAATTGGGGTGGGGCCAGCCCCCACCTGTAGCCAACTTGGGATCAACCCAAGAGTATTTTTCTCACCATCATACATAATGTCCAGTAGACAAGTGTTAGGTTATAGGTAATGGGGGAAGGGGGGCACTAGCTGAAATGAACCATGATAAAGTTCTTAGTCTTGCGTAGTTCATTTTTCATTGGTGTTAACATTTGGAACTGGGTGAGGGAGGCTCTTCTCAGGTTTGGGTCAGAGTCGCACCTTGTCCCATGATAGGTGACTCCTGTGGTTAGTTAGCATACTTTGAATTTCTGTTTATCCAAAATAGAATGTACGATTTGGCTGATGAGATGTCCTCTCATATCGTATTGCTTAGCTGCATCACTTCTTGGAAGTTTTTTATTTTTATTTTGTCTTTTTGAGATAGGGTCTCCCTGAAGCCCCAGCTGGCCTGGAACTCACTAACTATGTAAACCAGGCTGGCCTTGAACTCACAGAGATCTGCCTGCCTCTGCCTCTGCAGTGCTAGGATTAATGGCATGCGTCACCACACCCGGCTCTTGGAGTTTTGAATGAGATCCATGTAGTGTTTGTATTGTTTAAATTTAAGTGATATTGAGCCTTGGGAGTATCATTGTATGAGTGTAGTAAGGGTGTGAGACAAGTCTTAGTAAGTTTCTAGGCAGGCCCCTGTCTGGGTATAAATGTCCACCGTTCAGGGCTCACCCTCTTGGGCAGGTGTTTGAGCTCAGCGCCTCAGCTTCCTGATTAGTGAATAGCAGGCCCACCTTACAAGAATTAAGTGAGTTAAAATATTTAGAGCCCTTAGTATAGTGCCTTCCAGGCAGTAAGTACTTTGTGTTTTAATGAAGTTGTGGTTAATAAATCATGAGTCACCTGCTGTGGATGTGAGAAACAACTCCAGAGCTCTTCAAGAGCAGTAGATGCTTTAACTCTGAGCCATCTCTCCAGCCCCCACAAATTGATTTTTATTTTTTAAAATTACTTAATTTTATGTGTGAGTGTTTTGCATGCATGTGTCAGTGTGTCAGATTCTTTTGGAACTAGAGTTAAAGACAACTGTTAGCTGGCATGTGCGTACTGAGAACCACAGATCCTCTACAAGAGCAGCTGTGCTCTTAACCATGAGCCATCTCTCCAGCCTATGAATTGATGTTTAAATAAGCATGTTTTTTACACTTATCTCTGAGGAACAAGAAATACAACGAACCTGTATGTTGACCTCATAGGAAATAAATGTGCTGTGTAGTAGTCCTCCCTACCCAAGGTACACATCCCACGAAACCCCGAAGATGCTTGGAACTTACCTATGCTAGGCTCTTCCCTTCACACTTGTGCCTTTGATAAGGTTGAATTTATAAACTGGGCACAGTAAGAGATTAACCATGACCAATAATAAAATGGAATAATACAGCAGTGTAACATAATAAAAGTGTGCTTTGGGGACATTCTTAAATGAAATAAAGGTAGCCCCAGCATTTGGGAGGCAGAGGCAGGCAGATCTCTTGAGTTCAGGGCCAGCCTGGTCTACATAGTGAGTTCTAGGCCAGCTAGGGCTACGGGAGGACCCTGTCTCAAAAAGGCCAAATAAATAAAAATAAAAGGTTGCTTGAATACAGGCACTGTAATACTATGACAGTCCCATTTGATAACCAAAATGACCACAAAAATGGCTTCTGAGTGATTAATGTAGCATATACAGCAAGGGTCTGTGGATAAAGGGATAAATTGTGGGGTGAGGTGGAGCGGACTGGCACAGTTCCATCGTACTAGCTCAGATGGTGTGTGGCCGAAATCAAGGGTTGTTTATTTAGGTAATTTTCTGTTGAATACGTTTGAAGTGCCACTGACAGTGGGAAGCTGAAACTGGAAAGAGACTGTAGGAAGGGGGAGGTGCTGATCTACTCACTGCTCCATCAGAGAGGCCGTAGGTCAGGGCGCTGCGCTACTTGCCCCTCCCCTTGAGGTGACAGGCCAGAGTAAGTGGGGCTGCTTCCTCCACTCGCATCTGAAGATGGGAAGGCTGAAGCATTTCATTGTCTCCAGATTCCTGAGTTGGTTCATATAGTTAATAGTTTAGATAGACTTTTGGAGAAAAGCTGCAGACTAAGGAGCAGTGGTTAAAGTTATATGAAAAATGGTAATGGGAGCTAGAGAGATGGCTCAGCTGTTAAGAGCACTGACTGCTCTTGCAGAAGACCTGGTTCAGTTCCCAGCACCCATATGGCGGCTAACAACTGTCTGTAACTCCAGTTCTAGGGGATCCCACTCCCTCTTCTGACCTCCGTGGGCATTGCATGACATGGGTACACTTACATACATGCAGGGAATACACTCATACATGTAAGATAGAAATAATAAATTTTTTTTTTGGCTGGAGAGATGGCTCAATAGTTAAGAACACTGGCTGTTCTTGCAGAAGACCTGGGTTCGAATCCCAGCACCCACATGGCAGCTAACAACTGTCCGTAACTCCAGTTCCAGGGGATCCAGTAGCCTCTTTTGTCCTCCTCTACCATTGCACAACACAGGTGCACTTACCTACATGCAGGCAATACACACATACACATAAAATAAAAATAAAATAAAAAATAATAAAATATTTTTAAAGGATAATGGGACATAAAAAATGTAAAACATTAATTTTGGAGTTTAAATCTCAAGATTTTCAGATTTAAGCTCCTCCCTAAACAAACACCCCCACCCCAACATTCTTTGGCTCTTTCCTGAGCCCTGTCCATCTTTAACCACCTGAAACTCCTCTTTTTCTCTGTGGTTGAGTCTGCTGTGCTGGTGACATCAAGTTACAACAGATTCTCTCCCATTGCAGAATGTCATAGAAATAGGTTTTAGTGCCTGTTGCCTTTGAAGAGTCCCTCTGTTTCTCAAGTCTGTCTTGAGGTACAAATTAATATTTTCTTTGTCTAAAACAAATATTTTTTCTTCAAAGAAGAAAGATTTTAAAGATTTTAAAGAAAGATTTTAGGAACAGGGTATGTGCTTGTGTACCTTAGTGGTAGAGCATGCACTTAGCACGCATTCCATCCCCAGCACTGGGGAAAAAAAGACTTTAAAACTTTGGTGCCTGTTGTCATTCTTTGCTTTTATGGTACCACAACTGCTGGGAACAAAGTCTGTCCAGTTTAGAGAGATGGTCAGGAAGGGGTTTTGTTTTGTTTTTTGTTTTTTTAAAATAAGCTTTGTCTAACAAAAAGAAGAAAATTTGAATCTACAGCAAACTTGTCTCAAAGAAGGGCCCCACAGCTGTGTCCCCTGTGGAAGGCTGTCCTGGGTGACCATCTGTCTCTAAACAGGTGTTCTGTGTTTTAGGGAAGGACACTCAGAAAGGATCCCTGCTCTTTGATGACCTCCCCCCTGCCAGCAGTACTGACTCAGGTACAGTCTTCAGGCTCTCCCAGGTGTGTGTCAACGTCTCTACCCCTCCTGGGATTGGAGTTGTCTCAATCTCTCTCCCTTTCCCCCATTTTCAACATGCAGATGTTTTAGGTGTTGTTGGCTGTCTTAAGTTTTGAATCCATGGCCTCAGGTAAGGCAGAAAGACCTGCTAGTGGCTAGCCTGAGGAGTGCTGCATAGCACAGCCAGCAGTTTCCTCTCGTTCCTTTCAGTATCGTACTAGCCAAAATAAATTCTACTTTTAAGACAGAACTTTGGTTTCTTTTGCAATCATAGGACTTTAAAATAGGTTCCATATATTACTCACTTGCAGTATGAGTTGCCACTGGATTGACAGGAGTCTGAGTTTGTCTCGATAACCTGTTATGTAGGTGTCCTGGTGGGATGAATGAACTGAGGCCTGGTTGTTCTTTGTGGGCTCACTCAGTGTTCTTCTGTGTTTCAGGATCTGGGGGGCCTTTACTCTTCGATGACCTTCCACCTGCTGGCAGTGGTGATCCAGGTATGCAAGCAAATTTCAAGGTGCTGATGGAAGTAATCCATACCTTGTTCCTCTGTAAAACGCTTGTGTCGGTTTTAACAGGATTTGGAATGACATTAAATTACTGCACAGCATAGGTTTATTGAAATTGAATCGGCACCCATCGGGTATAAGCAGAAAGGTTAGACACTTGAACACTACATCACCATTTTGTTTATCTTTTTTTATTTATTATTTTTATTTTACGTGTACGTGTGTATTGCCTGCCTATAGGTAAGTGCAATCGTGTCGTGCAATGCCCACGGAGGTCAGAAGAGGCTGTTGGATCCCCTGGGACTGGAGTTATGGACAGTTGTTAGCTGCCATGTGGGTGCTGGGATTCAAACCCGGGTCTTCTGCAAGAACAACCAGTGCTCTTAACCTCTGAGCCATCTCTCCAGCCCCTTTTTTTGGTCTTTTTGAGAAAGGGTCTCCCCGTAGCCCCAGCTGTCCTAGAACTCACTATGTAGACAGGGCTGGCCTTGAACTCACAGAGATCCACCTGCCTCTGCCTCCCGAGTACTGGGATTAAAGGCGTGTGCCACCACAACTGGCCTTGTGGTTTATCTTCTTTGAGTTCATCTGCCTGGCAGACTGTTAAGACTTAGGAGCCAGGCATGGTGTCACCTGTCTAATCCTAGCACTAAGGAGGCTGATGCAGGAAGATCTTGAGTTCTAAACTAGCCTGGGCTACATCATGAGACTTGTCTCAAAATAATCACACTGATAATAATTTGTGAGTTCAGTTCACATTGATCTTTGATATTAGCCTTTAAAAAACAAGTCAGCCTGTTTCTCAGATTTGTCTTGTGTTCCGAAAGGCACGGACATAGGACGGTTTTCTGTTGTGTTCTGTTGGTGGGAGGGAAGAATGGTACGTGTTCTGTCAGGTTGTTAGCCACAATGTGACTGTTCCATCTCACTGATAGCCTCCTGCTTGTAGTTCCTCTGCTGGGGCCTGGGGAGGTAGGCGGTCCCGCCTTGTGCAGTTACTCTCTGTTAAAAGTTCTCTGTTGTTGCTCCTTTCCAAATAAGTTTTTGTATTATTGCCATGAGATCAGTGGGCTCACTTAGAAAAAGTGTTACAGTATCTTATAAGAATTCTCAGGGCTGGAGAGATGGCTCAGTGGTTAAGAGCACTGGCTCTGGCTCTCCTACAGAGGACCTGGGTTCAAATCCCACCACCCACATGGTGGCTAACAATCATCCATAATTCCAGTTCCAGGGGATTAAGAAAAAGATTTCTCAAGTTTTCTGGGCTGTGGGCTCATATCATTTAACCTTTAAAGCTTCCCCAATAAAGACGGTGCTCTTAGCCTGACACATACCTGTAGTCCCACAGCACTTGGGAAGCAGAAGCAGGCAGATTTCTGAGTTCAAGGCCAGCCCAGGCTTTATAGACCCTTTTTCAAAACAAACAAAGACAATGTTCGTAGTTATTTTGGGTAAGTTTGTGCAAATAAGGCTTTATGGATTTAGTTTAAAAAAATGAAGATTCAGGGCTGGAGAGATGGCTCAGTGGTTAAGAACACTGGTTGTTCTTGCAGAAGATCCAGGTTTGAATCCCAGCACCCATGTGGAAGTTAACAACTGTCCATAACTCCAGTCCCAGGGGTTCCAACAGCCTCTTCTGACCTTGGGCATTGCATGACATGGGTGCACTTGCCTACATGCAGGCAATACGGGCATACGCATAAAACAAAAATAAATAAATAAAATTTTAAAAAAAATGAAGATTCAGCTTAGCTCTTTCTTAGTTTTCATAGGGCAAATAGTAATGATTTGTAGGACTTACACAGGACCATTAAGCTTGAGATACATAAAAGAAGATGTATTAATTCTTGTTTTCAGTATCTGGCTTTCTTAGAAGATAGCACATTCTTCTCAATTAGGCAAGAACTACTTATGAGAATTGGCCACGTAATAAGCTGTAAAGTCCCGACGAAGAGTCTGTTTCACATACAGGCTGTGTGCTATGCCCCTAGTGTAACTTGCTTAAAAGTCAGTAGCAAATCTGTACTTTCTGTTTTGAAATTTCAAAAAAAAGCAATATCATTTCACATGCAGGTTGGGGAAAGTGGAATGCTAACAGCATCAGGAGACTGGCAGGGAGATCCTGGAGAGGCTTTTGACATTTTGTCACTATGTTGCTTTATTACTAGCATGGTGACATGTAACACCATTGCAGAAGCAGGCTCCCTTGCAGCTCGTTGAAGCTTGGCACAGAGGTGTTCCATTTTCTCAGGAGAGCAGGCTGATGAATGCATGCTTTCCCACCTAAGTGCAGAAAGCACTTAGGGACATTTCCTGAACGTGTGGTGTGACAGGTGGTTCCTGCACCTTGTCCCCATCAACATTCAAGCAGCATTCAAGCAGGTGATTCTACTTACCATGTTATGGATGAAGAAACAGGCTAGAAGGTTAAAAACTTGCCTTAAGGAGATACTTCTCAAGCCAGGCCTCACACATTCCAAACACAAGTGCTACTGGGCCTGTTAGGTATGGCTTTGAGTACAGATCTGTCCCTCTGCAAGTAGGGACGCTCCCGCAGTGATATTTTGCCTTTTACCTTATTCTGAGCCTTTTTGGAGCCTTTTCCTTTTTGAACTTGTTCAGTATATGTCAGTTGTTTGCAGTTTGGAAACTCCCTGTTTATCAGTAAGGGTCTGTGGACAAAATGCATCATGAATATGCTACAGGTAACAGATTAAATTTGTATACAAAATTCTGCTATTGAGAAGTCTTGGATACAGACTTTCAGGGTCAGTAGACTCAGGGCCTGGAGTCCTGCAACCCCCCCCCACCCCCAAATCAGATGATGTATCCCTATAACCACTTTATGTGCCTGTCCTTGCCTGAAATGTGTCTCTCAGGCTGAACTAGATGGAGCCTGATCTGCTGGTGACTTTCTGACAGTCTGCAGCTGCATTTCTGTTTGGCTTTGACTTTATCTCTAGGTTCTCTTGCCACGTCGATCTCCCAGGTGGTGAAGCATGAAGGGAAAGCAGCAAAGAGGAAAGTCCTCGAGGAGGAGGAGAACGGCAGTGAAGAGCTTGTGGAAAAGAAAGTTTGTAAAGGTTTTCAGACAGTTTGAAAACACATGTATTAGCTTTCGTATTTTAAAACATCCCAGAGCAAAAGCGACCCCAGCTTCCTAACTGTAATGCTTTTATGCCTGCATTTCAGACATGGGTATGGTTCCTCTTTTGCAGATGATTTCTAAGCTGTCTTTGCCTTACTTCCTTTGACTTTTCGTGTACGGAAATTTCCTGACCTTACTTTAGGTGTGGCAGGAAACTCTTTGGTCCTCAAGAATTGAGGCAGGTAGTTTTTTCTTAGCCTTCTGCAGAAAATGGCTGATTTGAGGATCCCCTCTCTGACTCCCAGTCTTTGTTACAAACTCTTGATTAGCTTTGACTAAGAGGGCTGGCTATAGATTTTCATTCCCCACTCCTTTGTCCATCACAAATTCTCAAGGAAAGCTGTGGGAATGTGCGGAGGTATGAAGAGAGGCTTTACAGCCCAACTGGGGAGATGTGCTCAAAGGATATTTCTTTGAAAGCGGCTTTTTATTATTTCTATGGCCTCAGGTGTCAAACTGGCCAACCTTGAAATGTTTCCATAGTCTGCCACAGCAGACTCCTTACTCCTTCATTTTGTAACTGAAGTAAAAGTAACCGTTAACCAGCAGTTGACATCCTGGAACATGTAAATACATCTTTCAGGGCTTCTAACAAGGCATTTGGCAGCTCTACTGATTTGAATTTCTCAAGAGTGGGAGTTTTTCTGTCCTTGTTAAATTGTCACAAGATTAGATTTCCGGGATCTCTTCCCCTGATCCCAAGTCCCACCTCTGCAAGGCAGAATGTCTTTCACCCTCACCTCCCTAGGTGGAACTCTTCTGTGCTCACTGACCTGTGCTCATCTCTGCAGTTCCGTCCTGTCAGCCTAGTAGGCTGAACCCCATTGTGCACAGACTTGCAGCTAGGGAGATGCCTGTAGGGATGGAGCTTATTTTCGCCATCAGGCCGCAGCACAGTTTCTTCTCATTTGCTCTGGGACTAGGGCTTCTTGGGGCAGGGCACAGTTTGGTATTGGCTTTCTGTTTTCTTTCCTTAGCCTCTTCGGTGATCTTTGGTCTGAAAGGCTATGTAGCGGAGCGGAAGGGTGAGAGAGAGGAGATGCAGGATGCCCACGTCATCCTGAATGACATCACTGAGGAGTGTAGGCCCCCGTCATCCCTCATGTGAGTGTTGCTGCTCCAGCATGCCTGGTTGATGTTAAATTCTCTGTTCTACTGGAGTTCCGGACTGTGATGGATGTTTGTACTAGAAAGACTGATGTGATGTGTTGCTTACCTTTTTTATCAGTGGATAGTTTTTGACCCCTGGAGACATTTGTCAGCATCTGAGGACACTTTTGTTGTTATATTGGGTCGGGTGGTTGCTCTTGGCATCTGGTGGGTAGAGACCAGAGCTTTGTTAAATGTGGGACAGCTCCTCAACAGAGTCACAGAAACGTCAGCAGAACTGCAGCTGCTGAGTGGAAAGTGACTCCCCCACCATGGACTCCGACCAGTGACTGAGCAGCTCTTGGCAGACAGTTCATTCTGTGTCCTGGCGGGTGGAGTTAAGAGTCACTGCATCAAGACTGCAGAAAGCTGGGTGAGGTGGCATATACTTGTAATCCTAGCCTGAGATCCCAGCACTTGGGATCTTGAGTTCCTGGCCAGCCTCGAGCTGCAGAGTGGAGCTCTACCTGCAGAAGAGAAACCAAAACCAGTGAAGTGAGGAGGCACTGGGAGAGGCAGTACAGGTAATCAGGGCGGAAGGACCCGAAAGCCAAGTGTCCTGGCAGAGGAGAAGGCTGTGTGTGCTGTACTGTACAGATGGAAGGGGGGCCTTCCTAAAATCAGAGGGAAGAACAGGGAGGCAGTCCGCGCTGCACGGCTGCTAGCAGTCTGTTGGATATGCATAATAAGTACTGACTAATCATGTGATGATATTTTCATCTCTAGTAACATGACCCAGAATCGCACAATGTGCACACCATGCACCATGACTGACACTGGTCAGTCATTACCACAGTGTCTAGCTGGGAGGTGACCACTGCAGCAGAGCCACTAATCATGACAGAGGGAAGGGTGTAGCTGGTGGCTTCAAAGCTAGGAAGGGCCTTGGGGAGGTATCCCCAGAAAGTACCAGATTGCACGTGACAATTCTTCTGTCTGAAGCAGTTCTTTAAAAATAAATTTTACTTATTATTATTAGTATGTTTATGATGAGTGTGTGTGTGTGTGTGTGTGTGTGTGTGTGTGTGCGCGCGCGCATGCATGCCGTGGTGCAGTGTGGAGGTCAGAGGACAACTTTGTAGAGTGGATTCTCACAAGGTTGTTGGGCCTGCATGACAAGTACTTTGCCTGTGAGCCATCTGGCTAGCCCTGAAGTTGTTTTTTGTTGATTTTTTTGGTCTTTTTGAGACAGTGTCTCCCTGTAGCCCCAGCTGTCCTGGAACACACTACGTAGACCAGGCTGGCCTTGAACTCACAGAGATTCGCCTGTCTCTGCCTCCTGAGTGCTGAACTGGAACTCACTATGTAGATCAAGCTGGTATGGAGCTCACAGAGTCCTCCACCTACCTCTCTACCTCTTGAGTGCTGGGATTAAAGGTGTGTGCCACCATGCCTGACTTTCAAGCAATTCTTTGATGACTTTTATTCCATATATGTGGGTTTTCTGATAAAAGTTGAAAGAGAAGGCGGGCGTGGTGGCGTACGCCTGTAGTCCCAACATTTGGGAGGCAGAGGCAGGCAGATCTCTGTGAGTTCAAGGCCAGCCTGGTCTACGTAGTGAGTTCCAGGATAGCTGTGGCTACAGGGAGACCCTGTCTCAAAAAGACCAATAATAATAATAATAAACTTAGATAATAATAAAAATCTGAGTAAGAATTCTGGAATCTCTCCTTTGTTCTTACAGATACATTTGGTGGTCTTGGGTCAGTAATCTTTTTTGGTTCCAGCTGGCCTGGAACTCGCTATGTAGTCCAGCCTGGCCTTGAACGCAGAGATCACCTGCCTCTGCCTCTCCTAAGTGCTGAGATTAAAGGCCTGTGCTGCCACGCCGGCTTCCAATCAGTAAATTTTTTTTAAATTTGTTAAACTAAGTCTGATTTAAGTAGAATAAAAGTTAGGATTTTAAATTTTACTGTCCGGAAAAATCATTGTAGCATCTTAGTTTTTTGGAAACGTGTTTTTTTTAATTTGTATTTTGAGACAGGTCTCGTTCTCTGGCCAGGCTTGACTTCAGACTCAAAGCAGCCCTCTAACCTCCACCTCCTGTGTGCTGGGATTGCTGGTGTGAACTACCACACTGGGCCAGGATTGGAATTTGTAACCATTGAAAATACCACGAATGTTACTTAATTGCTTGTCTCCTAAAGACTGCAACCTTTTCCCCTTATCTTATGTCAGTGTGACTGGTGTCTTAATGGTCACTGCTTGAGATAAGGCTTAGAAGCTTTCACGAAGCTAAGTGTGCTGCCTGCTTGTGACCCTAGCGCTCAGGCTGGGCTAAACATAGAACCCTCCTCAAATCTTAACAAAACTAGGTTCAGTGAAGAGCACTTCATAGATTTTTAATTCATCTTTCCAGTGCTCGTGTTTCATATTTTGCTGTTTTTGATGGACATGGAGGAATCCGAGCCTCAAAATTTGCTGCACAGAATTTGCACCAGAACTTAATCAGGAAATTCCCTAAAGGTGAGACTGGGAACCCAGTTAGAATCTGATTCAGCTTTGCTGTTTGGGTGGCTGAGTCAGTTGGATATGTTGTTTTGCTTTGGCAAAGAGTCCCTGATGGGGCTGGGGATGTAACTTAGTTGTTGTGTGCTTGCTTAGCATGTATGACGCCCTGGGTTCAGTCTGTAGCACCACATAAACCAGCTGTGGTAGGGCATATCTCTCTAGAAATTAGAAGTTCAGGGTCATCCTCAGCTACACAGTGAGTTCCAGGCTCAAAACAAATCCTTGAGCTAATAGCAAGTAGATTCTGGGGGGCAGAGTGGGAGGGGCTGTGTGGCCTAGAGCAGGACTTCACAGCTTCTTTCTGGTGGTCTGAGGTATGGTTAGTGTCTTGTCTGCTTCCATACTGGAGAAACCAGTCCAGTCCAGTCCTCATTGTCTCTTATGGGCGAGGAAATGGGGATTGTGGTCATGCTTAGAAATCAGTTCATGTGCAGAATTATGAAACAGACCCACAGTGGGACAACAGTTCTCCCTGAGAGCTGGCTTTCTTTGTCCTTCTCTAATAGGAGATGTGATTAGTGTGGAGAAAACTGTGAAGAGATGCCTCTTGGATACGTTCAAGCACACCGATGAAGAGTTCCTGAAACAGGCTTCAAGCCAGTGAGTATAACTGTTTAGAGCAGCAAGTGCCTGAGTTTTCCTGAATGTCTTTCAGTCTTCTGATACTGTTTACTACTAATGTCTCAAAAATATCCAGCACCAAGTAAGCTCTTAAACCAATACATAAAAAGGATGTTGGGCTAGCTAGATGGCTCGGCCGATGAAGGTACTTGCTGCCAATCGCTACTTTGAGTTCAGTCCCTAGAACCCACATGGTAGGACAGACAACCCCACAAATTGTCCTTGAGCTCCACACATGCCCTGTCATGTGTGCCCACCTACATACATACTGTGTCTACAAATATGCACACTCTGTAATAATTATATATAAATAATATTATATATATATATATGTATGTACATGTCCTTGAGCTCCACACACGCCCTGTCATGTGTGCCCACATACATACTGTGTACACAAATATGCACGCTCTGTAACTAGCTAGCTGGAACTCAGTCGACCAGATTGTCTTCAGTCTCACAGAGATCCATGTGCCTCTGCCTCCCAAATGCTGGCATTAAAGGTATGTGTCACCACACCCAGCTGTAGTAATTTAAAAACAAAAAGAGAAACAGAGGCAGGCAGATCTCTGAGTAAGACTAGCCTGGTCTACATAGTGATTTCCAGGTCAGCCAAGGCTACACGGTGAGACTTTGTCTAAAAAATGAACAGAAAGAACAGGGCTAGAAGAGATGGCTCAGTGGCTAAGAGCACAGGCTGCTCTTGGAGAGGACCCAGGTTCCTAGCACCCACGTGGTGCCACCACATCAGCCTGAAATAAAGAGCTTTGTTTTGGCTCACTGTTCTGGACTTCAAGACAGGCAGCCACATTGGCTAGAGTGGCCCAACATGGTGGAGTGACTATCAGAGTGAGTGCTCGGGTCTGAGCCAGGAAGGTGGGACAAGGAACTGCCCAGAGTCCCCCCAAAGGGCGTGCCTGCAGTGGGTCCCCCAGCTCCCTTTGAGGGAACTACCGTGGTGACCCTTAAGACCTCTCTCAGGGCCTGCCTCTTAAAGGTTCGCAGCAGTCCTTGTGACGCTGCCCTGGGGTCCAGGCCTTTGACATGGAGCCAGTTGGGAACACCACACATACTCTAACCATGCGGTAAATATTGAGGACACTCCATTTTAGCCCTCAGATGTCCCTCTCTGCTCTAACTCTTGGTCTCTGGGCACTCACCAGTGGTGGTGACTACATTTCTAATGTGTTTCCCCAGGAAGCCTGCCTGGAAAGATGGGTCCACTGCCACATGTGTTCTAGCTGTGGACAACATCCTGTACATCGCCAACCTCGGAGACAGTCGGGTATGTGGCTCTGAGCCACCTGCTTAAGAGGAGAACAGTAGCAAGTTAAAGTGCTCATGGCTAGGTGGACTGTCCAGTGGGTTGTTGTAAGGAGTTCTTGTGCAGTATGACCCCTGGGAACAGGTCAGCAGCTGAGTTAGAGGCTCTTTCTTCTCTGGGAAGACCCTGCAGCCGTCTGCTTTAACACCCAGATCCTCTCTTCTCCACTAGGGTTTTCTTTGTGTGCATACTCTGAATTGATTCTGTGGTTGGGGATGAATTCAGTATGCAAGTAGCCTAGGTACTTGTTTCTCTGACCTTAGGTGGATTGAATAAAAATAAAGCACTTCCTTTGCAACATCACTGTGACTTCAGAGGAGTTTGAAAGTTATCTAGGAAAGTACAGGGGAAAGCCTGTCTGGCCCAGGGAGAAAGTCCAGGGTGATGGTGTTTCTTGCAGGTGACAGGTATAGGAAATGACCTCATGTTCAATGTCATTGTCACCTTTCCATCCAGCCCCTGTGGCCCTTCAGTTACTGCGGGTGACTGCTCAGGGTGAGAAGCCTCTTCAGCTCCTCACCTGATGCTCAGGCTGGTCATTCATCACTGGGGTGCAGCCATGAACTGCAAGTGACGGCCTACCCTCGCTGACTTCATGTTCTTATGATCCTTGGGTAGACTAGCTGTAGTATGTATGTGTGTAGAACAAGTGACTCCACAAAAAGTTGCTAACCCTCCCAGACCCAGTTTGAGACTTAAGATGCATTAATTGCTGGGCATTGTGGCTCATGCCTTTGATCCCAGCACTCAAGAGGTAGAGGCAGGCAGATCTCTGAGTTCAAGCCAGCCTTGTCTACATAGTGAGTTTGGGCCAGCTATGACCCTGTCTCAGACAGACCAAAGAAAAAGCGTTATCTGTTGGGCTTCAGCATCCTCTGTGAAACTGGCACAGTAACCCTGTTGGGGCTGCACGTGTAGAGGTGCAATGTGCTTGCCTGCCCACATCCTCACCTCATATACTCAGACTTGGGACTTTGACCTTGAATATTTGTTAAATGCCTCCTTTGGTGTCGCTGATATGACGACTGCCCTGGTGAGTGGTTGGTTATGGTCATCCAGCAGTCTGTGATAGAGCTGAGCCAGAGGCCTCTCACCCTGACTACGTTTCAGCCACTTTGCTATTTGATATTTCTCGGTGCTGAATTTTCTGAACTTCTGTGTGTCAACAGGTGACCAAATAAAGTTCATTGTGAGCCTTTCCCTCCAGCTGATGGCTGTAGATGCTGGATTTGATGACTTGTGGTTTCCATCTTCCCAGGCAATCCTGTGTCGATTTAATGAGGAGAGTCAAAAACATGCTGCCTTGAGCCTCAGCAAAGAGCATAACCCAACGCAATATGAAGAACGCATGCGAATACAGAAGGCTGGAGGAAACGTCAGGTACCAAGGGACCAGAGGGGCGCCAGGGAAGCCTGGGTCTGAGCGGCCCAACAGTGGTAGAAAGCAAAATGTGTGCAACACATAGGCAAAGAGAAGAACTCAGGTTGATGCTTACCCTGGACATTTTCTCTATGCTTAGGATGCTTAAATACTATCCTTTCTTTGGTTGGTTAGTTTTGTGTTTTTTTGAGACAGGTTCATGTAGCCCAGGCTGGTCCCAAGCTCGATGCGTAGCTAAGGAGGACCTTGAATTCCTTCCTAATCTTCCTGCCTCTGCCTCCTAAGTGCTGGGATTTCAGGCATTCCCCATACAGCTTAAATGCTGTTCTTTGTTGACTGCATAAATTAAAGTTTCCAGAGAGAAAAATCTTAAGTGATTAGGACAAATTCAGAGGTAGATCTGGTGGTACTTAGTCCCAAGTACTTGGGAGACTGAGACAGGAGGGTGGTTTGAGTTCTGGAGTTCAAGACCAGCCTGGGCAATGTGAAATCCTGTCTCAAAAATAAGTAAATAAATGAACGGACATTTTCTGAGTGGTCACGTTGGAGTCCTGAGATCGAATCTCTGGCACAGAGCAAAGTGTCTTACCTGGTCTCTTCAGCAATGCCATTTTACCTCTGTCTTTGAACCAGGTGAGTGCTCCTGGTGTATCATCATCTGCCACGTCTCCCAGGAGGCTTAAGAAGGACATCAGTGCTTACTTGTAGAAGAATTCCACTACAAGGACATTGCCTTCTGAATGTGACCAGAAATATTTTCTGGTTCCTTCTACAATTTGGTCTTTAAGTTTTTGTCTTCTGTTGGAGATAAGACAAATCTTTAAAAAAAAATAAATAAATAAAAATTAAAAATCGGCTTTTAGCTAAGCTCCCAGAGAATATGTTGAAATTGCCAGTCTCTGGCTAAAAGCATAGCTTCCCAGCCCCGATTTAATCAGAACACTGTAGAGCTGCCTTACTGGCCTGCTGTGACCTGCTTTCCTGCTTAAGGCCAGGACTTCCTCCAGATTTTATTAAAATTTTCATTGCGAAGATGAAAACATTGTAGGGATGGGTGCTGGTGACGCTGCCAGTGTGAATGTGCATAAAGTCATCACTGCACTTAAAATACAAATATAGTTCACGTCTATATCCGCACAATGAAAATGTGGCTCAGACATGAACTGAGGGAGGTGCTCAGGACATCGTGCTTTCATCTCTCTCCTGATTCCCTGTATTTTTCTGGCACTTCTTTAAAAAATAAGTGGATTTTCAAGTGTGAGTTTCCTTCTTGCCTCAGTATCTTGAAGGTAGTGTGCAGCTGGGGACTCTTGGGGAGAAGAGGTCTGACCAGATGAGGAAAAGCTTTCAGTCTGTCAGCACCTGGACCTGGGTTAGGAACTGCTCTCGTGGTCCTGGGGACTGGAGCATTTGGTCTGGTCTGTACTTCTGTAGTATCTTTGTGTTCGCACACTGGTTTTGAGTATCTACTGCCCTTCAGGTGGCCCAGGATGGAGCTCCTACCTCTAGCCTGGCTGCACGGATAGGCTTTATTGAGATGGAGCGTGCCTCCTTTTCCTGCACACTAGAGAAGTCCAGCAGCAGCCAGTGAGCCCAGATCCACAAAGAACGGGAAGTCTCAGCCAGTTTCTCATTGTGAACAGCTGGAATAGAGAGGCTTCCTCACACAGCTGAGCTCTGAGGGCCGCCCCAGCCACAGAAGAGGCACCTGGCTGGCTTCTTGTGGCTCTTGTGGTTGCTTCTTGTACTGGTGCCCATAGGCAGCGAGGCCCTGAGCTCTCCCTTTACCATATGTAGCTCGTGTGCATGTGCACTTTGTGTTAAAACATTGCTCAGCTTTTCACAAATGTCAGTGGAAATCTCCAGGGAATAAAAAAAGCCATGTGTTCAGGAAGGCTGAAATGTGAGTCACTGAGGGTGGCTGGGACTCTGAGGGGCCCAAGGCTGGGCTGAATTCTCGCTCCAGGACAGCAGCTCCAGCCTAGAAAGAACTTCCTGCCAAATCTGTCCATCTTCCATGGTCCCCAGAACTTGTTTGTGACTTGGGAGCCTTGTGGTGACACTGAACCACCACCCACAGGTTCAGCATCTACTGAGTGCACGCTTCAGCTCGGTCTTAGGAATGATGGTCTAAGGGCTTAGGAGGCCATGAAGTGAGAGTCCAGGCCTGAATTGTTGTTGTTTTAAAATGTGTATGCGTGTATTGCCTGCATTAGGTAAGTGCACCCGTGTTGTGCAATGCCTGAGGACAGAAGAGGCTGTCAGATCCCCTGGAACTGGAGTTACGGACAGTTGTTAGTTGCCATGTGGGTGCTGGGATTCGAACCCAGGTCTTCTGCAAGAACAGTTAGTGTTCTTAACTGCTGCGCTATCTCTTCAGCCCCCAGGATTGTTCTTAACAGTGGACCTGTAGAGTTCATGAGTGAGGGTCAGGGATTGGCTTGGCATTATGTGAGAGAACCCACTGGGCGGTTCCCACCAGTGTGCAGCAGTGTGAGCCCCCAGCCCCAGGGGAGCAGGAATTAGAATGATTTGGAATGCATCTGGATTGTGTGCGATTAAGACATGTCAGCGCGGCTAATGAGGATTCCATGGTCTGGATCTTTTACTCTCAGTTTCTGCTTTCGGGGTCAGCTTGTAAGTACCAGGGACCCATGACTTGATAGGCGAGAGTCTGACATTGTTTCCCCCTCATTTTAGAGATGGACGTGTCTTGGGCGTGCTGGAGGTGTCTCGTTCCATTGGAGATGGGCAGTACAAACGTTGTGGGGTCACGTCTGTGCCTGATATCAGACGCTGCCAGCTGACCCCCAATGACAGGTAAAATCATCTGGTCACCAAAGGTAGGGGTGTGCATGCATGGACTTGTTTCTCTTCCTGAGTTTTCTCCAAATTTGCCTCCAGTCTTTGCTGGGGGAAGTGTTGGGGACGGGTGGTGGGGGGAGGCTTAGGCACTGTGCCTGACCCCAGTGTGCCCAGATGTATAGAATATGCTTTTTGGTGTCACGGGGTCCACACTGTTGGATCTGCAGTGATCAGGGAGCACACATGGGGAGGGGCAGTATCTCAAGAATATGAGGTGCTCTGGACGGCTTTAGCAGTGGGGGTGGGGCATCCCTGTTGGAGGAAAACGAGGTTTTCTGGCAGAAGAAATATCCCCCACATCAGCTCATTCAAGTGAGTGTGAAACAGCCAGGCGAGTGCCAGTAATGGCAACAAGGGACTTGCAGGAGTAGAAGAGGGTGTGGAAGAATTAGGGCAGGTGTTCTGGAGACAGATCAGTAGGGGCCTTAGTTCTGCTCAGACATTTGAATTTTAATTCATAAAGTCATAGGAGATTTTAAAAGAGACTGATAGGCTGAAAGCAGTTTCCTGCTGGGTGTCTGCTGTCCCAGGACCTAAAGACAAGGCCCATGCTTGCTGAGGGTACCCTGCAACAAGCAATGGCCATAGATTGGGCTGTCGAGCCAGGGAGTCCACCAGGAGGATGGAGTGGGCCTGGCAGGATAGTGAGGCCTGAAGAAGGTGAGTGGAGGCAGCTAGGAAACAGGACTCAGAGGACTGGACTGAAGGGTGAGCAGAGAGCATGGTGGCCATGTGCAGCTGCCAGGCCTCAGCTTTGATTCCGGCATGCCTGCCTGGCCTTTTCATCTCTACCCACCCTCCACACCTGCCTTTCTGTGCCATATTGTAAGCCACCCTAGGCTCTTGGGACATGTTTGTGAAAGCTCCATCTCGGTTTTCTAGGCTAGCTGCCTAGAGCTCCATTTTGCTTTCAGAGAGGCCCTTACTACGTTATAACCACACATCTATGTGATGAATTATTCTAGATCTCACTCTGACAGTGCTCACTGAAAGAGCAGGAACCTGCTTAGACTTGTCCCTGCAGTGTCCCAAGCACAGGCTGTGTGCTCAGAAAACATTGGCTGAATGCTCTGTCAAAAGAGGGAAACAGCGTGAGCATGATAGGAGAGGACGGGGCTACCCTAAAGATCCCCAGAAAACATGGGTGGTCAGAGGCTTCTTTGGGTCGCCTCAGAGGAAAGTGGTGCATTCAGAACAGAATGTGGGGGTGTCCCCTCTGCAGTCTTGGGCCCACTCAAGTGACAAGCTCTGAGCTTGCCTCCAGCTGCCTGCCTTTGGGCCTGTGGTGATGCAGCTCAGGTGCGTCCCCATCACCTTGCAGCTGTCACAGTTGTCCTGAGGTGCCAGAGACTCCTAGTGTTGAGATCTCTGGGGTTTTATGGGTGGAGAGAATGCTGTCTCACTTGTGCTAGACGTGGTCCTCCCACAGCTGATTTTTAAGTAATTTTAACTTCCTTATTCAAACTCTGTGGCTTTTGCCCCTGAGCTGTTGAACAGCCATTACCTCTAGGTTCTTGTCCTGGTTTAGGTTCTGTGAGACAAGGTCTCATGTAGTCCAGCTGGCCTGGAAGTTGCTGTTAGTCGAGGATAATCATCAACCCCTGATCCTCCTGTCTGTACCTCCACAAGCCTGCTTTTTAGTTTTTTTTTTAAGATGTTGTATACGGAACCTGGGGCCTTCTGTGCTTATCCTAGGCAGCTGCTCTACACTGAGCTACACCCCCAGAATTCCATTCTGTTTAAAAGCTTGCAGCTGAACCGGTCTATGTTTCTTCCTGACATTGTAGGTTCATTTTGCTGGCTTGTGATGGGCTCTTCAAGGTCTTTACCCCAGATGAAGCTGTGAACTTCATCTTATCCTGCCTGGAGGTAAGATAACTTATAGGGAGTGCTGCTTGTCCCAAGTGCTCTTCACTTTCCAAAACCCCCAATCTGTGTGACCCCCACATTCCGTGTTGGGTATAGCCCTTGAACTCGGTCCAGGGGCTCATGTGTCGCTTTGTCCTGCCAGCCTTCATCAGGGATAGCGGGTCTTCCCTTGGCTGTTGTCTTGGAGAATGACGGGCTGATGCCCTGCTCACTCAGACCCCACCCCTCTGGTAGGATGAAAAGATCCAGACCCGAGAAGGGAAACCTGCTGTTGATGCCCGCTATGAAGCTGCATGCAACAGGCTAGCCAACAAGGCGGTGCAGCGGGGTTCAGCAGACAACGTCACGGTGATGGTGGTGCGGATAGGACACTGAGGGCTGGCACGGACGGTCTTAACCGACAGGTTCATTTTGTGTGTGCACTGTTTGTGTACTCCTGTGGGACTTCCATGGTTGTAAATAAAGGTTCCTTTTTTCCTAGTCTTTTTAGTTCCCTTATTGTGCTTTGAGCGACTGGCCTTGAGTTAACTGGGCTTGCTTTGGAATGTGCTCTGGGTCTTATCAGAACTCTCTTGTGGACTTCTTGGACAGGCCCATGATGGCCTGTTACCTAGTCCACATGCTCTCACCCTCTTAATGATCCCTTTCAGGAAGTAGGACTTCTGAACAAAGCCAGGACCAGAGCCTCAGGCTGTACTGTTTCCCACACAGAGAATGTGTGAACATTGAGAGCAGGAGCCCAGGCTTGGCAGGACCTGGGCCCATGCAGGAGTTTTCCAGATGGAGTGCAAGGTTGCCAGGTTCCCAGAAATGGCTGAATCCAGCTTATGCCTATTCCCTTGAAGACATGAACCCTGGGTAAGGACTATGTAGCCCTGGGTTTCACCTCAGTGTCAAGTAGCCATGGTGTGTTGAGCCATCACACCACTACCCACCACACCCTCAGACCTACTGCCACATCGCAGGACAGTCAAGGGGTTGGCTCTGCTGGCCTAAGGTGTACCGTATTGGTGATGGCACTCAGGAGGCAGATAGGAGGATCCCATGTATGCTGTAGGCCAGCCTACGATACATAGCAAGACTGTCTCCAAAACTGAAAGGATGTAGCTGTTGGCAGAGTACTTTCCCAGTAGGCACAAACTCTGGGTTCCGTCCCCAGTGCTGTACAACCAGGCCTGGTAGTACACACCTGTGATCCCAGCACTTGGGAGGTGGAAGCTGGAGGATCAGAAATTGAAGGCCATCTGCAGCTATATAGCCAGGTTCCATGAGGCCCTGCATCAAAAAAAGCATGGGGAGCTGGGGAGAGAGCTCAGTTGGTGAAAGTGCCTGCCACGTAAGCATGAGGACTGAGTTTGATCCCTAGCACCCACATAAAAAGCCAGGTGTGGGGGCACACGTAATCCCGGCACAGGGGAGGCTGGGACAGGAGGGTCCCTTGGACTTGCACTCAAGTCCTAGTGAAAATTCTTTCTCCACAGAACAAGGTGGATAGCTCCTGAGGAGCACTAATGTTGACCTCTGGCCTCCACATGCATGTGAACACATACATACCCATATCTACTATGTACAAAAAAGCTTTTTAAAAAAACTAATGGGCTGGTGAGATGGCTCAGCTGATAAAGGCACTTACTGCCAGTCTGAGGGCCTGAGCTTGATCTCTGGGACCCTCATGATGGAAGGAGAGCGCCAACTCCCAAAGGTTGTCAGCTGGACTTGGTGGCGCATGTCTTTAATCCCAGCGCTTGGGAGGCAGAGCTCTGTGAGTTCAAGGCCAGCCTGGTCTACACAGGGAGTTCCAGGTCAGCTGGGGCTACAGGGAAGACCTTGTCTCAAAAAGACAAAAATAAACTAAAAAGTAACTTAAAGAGGGGCTGGAAAGATGGCTCAGAGGTTAAGAGCACTGGCTGCTTTTGCGGAGGATACAGGTTTGGTTCCCAATACCCACATGGCAGCTCACAATAGTGGTAAATAGTTCAAGGGAATCTGATGCCCTCTTCTGGCCTCTGTGGACATTCTATGAACATGGTGCACTTAACATACATTGTAGGCAAAACATTCATACACATTAAAAAAAAAAAAAAAATGTCAGTGCTGCCTCCTTCCCTAGGGAGTAAGCCAGGAATCTGTTCTTGCTTGGAGACTAGACAACAGTAAATAAGGACTTCAGTGCCTTATCAGAAAGCATAGTTTTTATTTGTTGACAGACTATTCCCTGTAGCCCCAGGTGGCTTAGAACTCAGTAGACCAGGCTGGCCTCAATCTCACAGAACCACCTGCATCTGCATCCCAAATGGTGGGATTAAAGGCTGGCCACGATGCCGCCTCGCCACGCCTGGTCATAACAATTTAACACATTCTTCCTGCAGCACATTGGGGGGGCGTTCAGTGCCCCAAAGGCTGTGCTGTGGCTTGTACCCTCAGGTGCCACTGTTCCTTCTGAGAGAGGCTTGGCACTATGGTCTCCTTGGCTAGCAAGGTCCTCTCTGCCACCTCCGAGGAGAGCCCCAAGACTGCAGGCATCTCCCTCGCCTTCCAGAGCTCACCCCTCATGGTCCTTGGTGAGCCTGAGCTGAAAGGTGAAAGTCCTGAAGGTCAGGTATGCCTTCTGTTACAGCTTTGATCCCATAACACCTCAGTTACATAAAAACTGTCTTCCTGGCAATATTATAAATACTTTAAATTGCTGCATAACACAGTTATGTTGAAAAGGTGAGATATGTGCGTATGTGGCTTTTTGAAGAGCAAAAGATAACTTCTCTAAAATGTCTGTGCGTGCTGGATACAAAGTGAAATCCAGAGAAGGGCGTGGCCACCCCATGTCCTTATCAAAATGCCAGGGAGTCAGGACCCAGGCCAGCCTGCTGCTTCCTGGTAGGGTGGGTACAAGCCCTACTGAGAATTGGGTCAGGCTAGCCCTTGGTTTACCTGTTGCCGGGCGTCAGCAGCCTGGCTGGGGAAGAGGTGTGATTGTGAAGTGGGCAAGGAAGCTGTCTCATTGGCTGCCTCTGGCCACCTCATTCTGAGGCCAGCTGAAAGAATAATGACTGTGGCTGCTGTCTCCTCTCCCACACTGGGGTACTCCTGCTAGGCAGGTTGGTGCCTGAGATCCCGAAGCACTAGGTTCCACGTAGCCCAAGGGTATGGATGTGGGTAGGCTATCAACTCTTTCTCAGGCAGTGGGGGCCTTGGAGGTCACTGCGGAAGGCCTGTCCCTCTCCACTGCTTATTGGGGGCCAGCCCTGCTTCTCTTGGGTAGCACCCTCTCCACCCTCGCATTAGGAGCTGGCCTCTCAGGGAAGCTCATGAGCAGGTAGGCATCTCCAGTGTGCATAATTGTGCTCTGACCTGTGCTTGGTGGTGGGTCTTAGCAATGAGCCAGAACCTCAGAGGGGTTGGGAAAGGGGTCTAGTGGCTGGCAGCCTCTATGGAGCTTGAGGGTGGCTATATCTGAAAGGGACGGAGGGGAGTATAATGCCCATTTGCTAGAGTGCCCATCAGGGGACCTGTAGTTCATCCTGGTTGCACCAGAAGTAGAAACTGGCCCCTCGAGGTCTCTCTTCAGCAACCCTAGGTTCCTGAGGCTGCAGGACAGGCAGGGCATGCCCAGGAACCCAAATGGGCAGTGTGCATGGCCAAGATGACCTTGGCTTTCCTCTGAGGACTAAGGTGATGCAGTCACTCCCCTTGGCCTAGCTGCATGCAGGCTGACCCTCTTTCAGGCAGTGGCCCTACTAGAACTCTGCAGAGTGCTGGAGAGGCTGGGAAAGGGATTTGGGGCTGTATGGGGCCACAAAGGAGCACAAGAGGCCCTAGCCCTGCAGCTGGGGACAGTTCCAGGATAGCCAAGCAGGGCTCAGGACATTGAGAAGTTGCTGCTGGTTCTGGGACAGCCTACTTCCATCACCTCTGCAGAAATGCCAGAGGTGGCCATGCTGGGAGTCATCCACAGAGGTCCAAGTGGGCTTCCTTCTGCACAGGGCCACTGTCACTTGACACTGTAGAAATCAGGACCTCTGCTCGGTTTGCCTGGTGGGGGTAAGAACCTGCAACAACTGCTCACACACCCAGAAGGACAGCACTGAAGTGGGAGCCACTGCGCACCGTGATGGAGGAGCCGCTGGCATTGTCCAAAAAGACTGAGGTGTACTGCCCTGTCTGCAAGGAAGGGTACCTGTCAGGCATCAGGCCTGCCCTGTAGTAGAGGCCCTCAACAGCCTGCAGTGTGCCCTACAGACCAGTGTCCACACATGGAAAGGGACCAGACCTAGGTCCAGAGCAAGTGCTCTGTGGGTCTTGCACCCAGACCCAGCACCCCTGGCTCTTATTCTAGTACTTTCCAGTGTTCCACAGCTGAGTGTGTGGGAGCAAGCCCCTGGTTGGCCAGGGTGGGGTCCAAGAGACCAGAAGCTTCCTCTGCTGCAGGGCTTGCCTCACAGGTTTACCCTGGTCAAGCAAAGCCATCTTGAGAGTGTTGGTCTGGCCTGTCTGCCCCAGTGTGGTCCACACACCATTAGCATCACATTCCCTACAAACTCCCAGAATGAGGACTGGGGACCTACCCAGGGAACCTGCATCTGAAGACCCAGGCAGAGCATGTACATTTGAGTTCAATAGACCTCATGCTCCCAGCACCACGTCTGGCTTGAGCCAAACCACCCGGCCTGGAGTTGAGGCAGGTTAGGAGCAATGGCAGAGTTCACCTCAGAGCTGAGACCGCGTGGACACTCAACATTTCCCACTCTGATCTTTTAGTAAATCCACTTCTGTCACTAGCAAAATAAAACTCATTTAGGTTTCATGCAGAAAATTACTATGAATTGGGCATCTCAGTCTCAGAGGACATGGTCATCACACTGTTCTGCCCGGCCCCATGGAGAGCCTGGATGGTTGGAGGCACCACCGCAGTAGCACCGGGTGCTTGCAAGGTCTGAAAGTGGTAGAGCTGCTTAGAGATTGGCCTAGGGAAGGGCAGGCATTGGAGGGAGAATGGAACCCGAAACCTGGCTCTTTCCAAGCCAGCACCAGCACTTGGGCGTCTGAGGGTGCAGTGCCCAACCCTAAGCACCTGCCACCACCCCCGACCCCTGCACAACCACCACAGCCCCACACACCTGCAGATACAGGACACCGTTGACTGAAATGGTGAAGAGCTCACTGCTGTTCTCCATCCCCAGGACGGTCTCCAGGGAGCTGTACCCAAGATAGAAAGAGGGTCAGCCCATCCCCAGACACCATCAGCTTCACTCACTGCCCTCAGCAGCAATCGTCAGATGACCAACACTACACCTAGCCAAGTGCCTGGCCCAGGCCCATCAACCCTAGGAGGTGGTGTTTGAACTGGGTCCTCAGAGGAAAGAGAACGTAAGGCGTACTTCCAGCTGGGACCATAGAAGGGGCAGCAGTGTCCTTGCCCTGACGGGAAACAGGTGCGGGGTAAGATGGGAGTGTGACAGCAGGTGACACAGAAAGCCAACAGCTCCAGGAAATCAAAGCCAAACTAAGAAGGCAGACATTCTCCTCCACCTGTGCAGAGAGCTCTGTGCCTAGCCCCTATTCTAGGTGCGGGTGGGGGGGAACAGCAGGTGTGGGCAGTCCCTGTCCTCATGAGACACTAGAACTTAAGTCACTGGGGGAAATTCATAGGTGAGGGTTTGGCAGAGTGACCGAAAAGAGGGGCTTGTGGTGTTCCAATTGTCCTCTGAGAGTCCTAGAATCAGGAGACAGGACGGAAGCAGAACAGGGAAGGGCCAGGGAACCTAGGTCCTGGGAAGGAGTTGGGGCAGGATGGTGCCAGGGTCCCTCACGTCCTAGGGGCGACGGGAATCGAGGGGGAAGGGTCTTTATGCTGGAAGGGGTCTGGGTGCGGCAGCCATGGTTGTGAGGCCCACTCACGCATTGTGCTGGCAAAGGGACTGGATGCAGATCAGCAGGCGCAGGCGGTCCCGGGGTCGCGGCGGCCCCCGCCTGGGCTGCTCCCCAACGGCTGCGGAGAGGACAGGTCGTGGTCACCGAGATGGGCGTCGGGCCAGGGCAGCGGGCAGCAGGCAGCGCCCCCAGGCCTCGGGCCTCACCCACGTGCAGCGTGGCGGCGAGCGCATAGAAGCCGGCCACCGGCGCGGTGTACTGGCCGCTGGTCAGGTTCAGTCCCGGGCCGCGGCGAAAGGCGCCCTCCGCGTGGGGCTGCGGGGTGCACGGAGGGTCACCCCAGGGATAATCACCCCGGGTGGGCCCCGCCCAGCCCGCCCAGCCCGCCCAGCCCGC